GTATCAGTTTCCTTTGTTGGATAAACCGGCTACTGAAGAGGGTTTCCCTATTCCTGACGATGTGGTGGGAGCGCATGAAGAAGGTGATGGTGCGGATGATGTGTCTTTAGAGCCTGAAGACGGGGATATTGTGACTCCTGACGAGCGTTTGGAGGCTTCGGAGGTTGAGGTCAAAACGGTTATCGAGTCAGAAGAGGCTTGGCGTGCTTTGAAAGATCATGCCACTAAACCAGTGCGCATGATTAACTTCATGATTGCCGAACCTCTCAAAAGCAAACACAGATCGGAAGTTTTAGCCGCTACACAGCGTAGCTTGGTCAAGCTTCAACATCAAGGTTATCCAGTTCTGCGGCTTCATACAGACCGCGGCGGTGAATTCGTGAATCAGTCTTTCCGTACATTCTGTGAGGCTCGACAGATTTTTCGTACTACCGGGGACCCCGGATCACCACAGAGTAACGGTCGCAGTGAAGCTACGGTTGGGGTGTTCAAAAAAGGCGTCCGCGCACTGCTAAAGCAGGCCAATCTGGATTCATCGTATTGGGCACGTGCCGCTGTTCATTGGTCAGCTCTTCGATGGCGATGGGCTGAACAACAGCTGGGATTGAAGCCTCGTGATATTCTTCCATTTGGTGCTCGGGTTCATGTGCGTCGAAGGGCTTGGGAACTTCGTGATCCGAGTGGTTCTAAGAAAGGGCGTCAGTGGTTGGATCGGACACAGCCGGCTTTACTGTTAGGTCCATGCACAGAGGTTTCTGGAGGCTACATCGTTGAAGCTAGGGGCGCTAAAGATGATCCTGACAAGCTGGTTATGTTTCCAACTACGGTGGTCTATGACAGGGTGGAACATAAGTCGTCGGTTCCGGAGTGTGATGCCGAGTTTACTGAGGAACTTCCAGCGCCTCCTAAGCATCGGATGCGTTTCAAAGGGGTGGCTCGTACCATGCGGGTTCCGGGGGAGACGGATGCTGAGGTCCTTCCAGCGTTGAGGCGTTTCATACCAGATGGGTCGCTTCGTTCACTATGCTGCACGAACCGGGGGGAGGGTCCAGTTGCTTGCGAGGTTTTGCAGGAAGATTTGGAGGTGGAAATCCCGTCGGGTGACAGTCCGCGTGCGTGCATTGCAAAACCCTGTTACACTGATGACATCGCAAAAAGTGAGGAGTTAGCGCGTGAGTGGTTGGAGCAGAAGAAGTTTTCACCACAAGAGTGTTTGGAACTTTTGGAGTCTGTGGGGTTGGATTTTCGTGCGAATCGGAGAGGCGACATTCACTGCAATGAGGATCGCATTCAAGCTGTGACTTTGGGACAGTATGTTCGTGGACATATGTGCGGCGTGACCAATGCTGCAAAACATAGGCCCATGTTCGTCAAGTACTTGGTGAGCTTTGTCCGCGAACACAATCCAGATGTGGTATTCTCATCGGTTTATCTTTCGTGTAACACTGCCGTGGGAGTCCATAGAGATCGTCACAACGATTACTCGTGCAACAATGTCATCTGTGCTCTTGGCGAGTTTACGGGTGGAGAATTGTGGGTGCAAGATGATGGTATCTCTAGGGAGGATCAATCTGCAGTGGAGCGGAAGTACGGTGATCGTAGCCTCGTGGGCAAGACGGTGGACATTAAGAATCAGTTCTTTTCATTTTCACCCCAACAGGCACATGGTCCTCAACCGTGGAGCGGCACCAGATGGACTATCACAGCATTCACGCCTCGAGGAAGTGATCAACTTTGTGATGTGGATCGGAGTTTTCTCTTGGACATCGGCTTTCCAATGCGCGCATCTTCTTCGTCGATTTGTCGTCAAACAGAACATTTGGTCCAAGATAAAGTGTTCGTTGAAAACGCGTTCGGTGATGTCGGGGGGGACGAGAATTCTGTATCGGATGTAGACATTGGTCGTCTTCGAAGTCAACATGCTAGCTTAAGAAGGTTGATTGCGGATCAAGAGCAGTACTTGATTGCCGAAGTGTCGTTGCCAGAGGTGTTTGAAGGTAGTGCTACGTCAGAGTGGCTGCAACACTCTCGCGAAATCGAACGACAGTTGGAGCAGTCTTTGCAGCATGCAGGTTCGTTGTTAAAGATGCAACAAGAGACGATTGCACAGGAGGCTGGGGACAATGAGGAGTTTCTTCAAACTCGCACAATTCCTACCACAACAGCCATGCAGGAGCTGGAGGATTGGAGAGAAGCATTGTCAGATGAGGTTAACAATCTCATCACGGAGCTGCAGGTCGTAGAACGGACTACGGAGCAACAACTTGCGGAGATGGCGAAGCTTCCTGATGCACCCGTTCTTGAATATGTTCCAAGCTTGGTGGTGTTTACACGTAAACAAGGTTCAGGTCGACGGCGAGCTAGAATTTGTGCATGTGGAAACTTCTTATCAGGAAGCCCAAGTGTTCAACAACAAGGTCCCAAGATGCTGCGCAGACAAGGGCTATACGCTCCAGGATTGGATTCTACAACCTTCAGGTGTCAAGTGAGGCAAGCCGCGGAGGAAGAGTGGTTTCTAGCTGGTCTAGATATATCCAAGGCTTTTCTGACAGCACCAATGAGCCAAGTTCAGCGGCAGGGTCGGCTAATCATTGTGCAACCGCCTAAAGCAGCGGTGAAGCTTGGACTTGCTTCGCCATCCGAGCGGTGGGTGGTGCGAAAAGCTTTGTACGGCTTGGCGGAAAGCCCAGCTGCGTGGGTGGAGTGGAGAGACACGAGGCTTTTACAGATGCGTTGGCAGACGGATGGTTTGGACATGAGGTTCAAAAAGTCAGAGGTTGATCCCAGCTTGTACCTGCTCATCGCGACGGACTCCGACGGCAAAGAGAGTGTCAAAGGCACTTTGGGACTATACGTTGACGACTTTTTGTTAGCCGGGAGTATGTCCATAATCACAGATGCCATCCAACAGATTCGCGCTGAATGGAAAACTTCTGAACCAGAGTTCTGCGGAAGAGGTCATGACGACAAACCGTTGAAGTTTCTGGGTATCCAAATCTTTTGGAATGATTGCGCGTACTACTTGAACCAGGAGGACTTTGTCAGGGACCTGTTGCAACGACGGGGGTTTAAAGCAGATGCAGGCGGCATTGGTGGTGCTGGGCCGATGAGCAAGGAGGCGCCGCCTGACGAGCCGGAGGAAGTGTCTGTTGAGGCGCTACGAAAAGCACAGGCAGCCGTAGGAGAGCTGTTATGGCTGGCATTGAAGTCTAGAGCAGATCTGGCTTTTTGCACAAGCCAGCTTTCTGTGTGGTGTACTCGCTATCCGCGTTTTGTTGCAAGAAAGGCAGATGAAGTGTTTCATTACTTGAGTAGGACGGTCACACTGGGCCTAAAGTATTCGAAGGTGGATCCTATGTCTTTGGGTGGTGATTCACAGCTTCGTTTCAAAAGGAGTGTCACAGTCTTGGAAGCTTATACGGACGCATCGTTTGCTGCGGGATGTGAAGGTGAAGAAACGGCGAGATCACACAGTGGAGCTGTGGTCGTATGGGCCGACAGCCCAGTCATGTGGATGACGCAGCGCCAAACCACGATAGCACTGAGCACAGCGGAAGCTGAGCTCAACGCTGCCCTGGAAGGAACAACTATGCTACAATCTGTCGCGCCTATCGTTTCTATGCTTTTGGGGATCAATGAAGATGGCCTTTCCAAAGCGCTATACATTGATTCCGTTTCCGCATGCTCGATCATTTCAGTTGTCGCTGGTGCATGGCGAACACGTCACTTGCGAATCCGAGCAGCCGGTTTGCGGTCTTTGCTAAACAGTGGGTACCTGGTGGTGGCACACTTGAAAGGTGAGCACATGCTAGCTGATATGCTGACCAAGTTGATGAACGGAGCAATCTTTGTCAACCTCAAGCAGATGTGGCAGATGACGACTGCTCCTAGCACGCATTTGGTTTCTGATGCAGCACGTGCAGCGGCCGCCGCCGTGGCCATCCTCGTGGCTACTATGTTGCAAGGCTACGAACTGGTGCAAGCAACTTCTTCGACTTCTTCGATGACTACGTCTTCAACAACGCGATGGTTTGATCGAGCGGATATCGGATTTCTTCTGGTATTGGTTTTCGTCATTGTCGCAGTCCACAAGGTCGTTTCGGCGGTGTTTCGAAGTGGCATGATCCGCAGTTGGTGGTGATTGCGGGAATCAAGCGCAAGATGATTTCAAGCAGTATGGTTTTCCAAACTGGGCTATCTGGTCCTACACCTGGTTTTCCGTCTCAGCGCATTGGGCAACGTGTTTATAGTCTGATGTCGTGGTTTAAAGGCTGATTATACCTGTTAGTGGATGATGGGTTATTCGGCTCGCACACAACACTTTTCCAATCATGATGTTTCAATCAATTTGGACAGGCTTCTGAGGTACAGTATGCGACTCTGCATTACATATTCATGAGCTTGACCTGCTGCATTGTGCTAATGATGCATACCCCTCGCGAAGAGCAGACGCAAGGGACGGATCACTCAGTGATCACTTGGGCCCCAAAGGGGCATCGGAGCATGGATATGGTTTGGGTTTAGGTGGTCTTCAGTTACCCCGATTTCTCCTGAACAAGGGTGCTCAGATGCAAAGCGCCTCTGAGTTTTTGCTCTTATGCCTGTGCTGTCTCGACAGCAGGGGGAGTGCGAGGCAAGGGCCTTGCAAGCAAAGCCCCTGCGTAAGAAGACACGCACAAATCAGGTCGCATGGCATTGTCTCGCCCTGCGCAAGGATGACACACTAAGGTACATCGAGAAGTGTACCAACGTGACACGTGGCTCAAGGTTTAAAAGTTTTTGTTTGTGCTTGAGTGGTTTCCCCACCTCTTTGGGGTCACCCTAGTCCTTATTTCAGGGAGGTTGTGTGGTTGTAGGGATTGGGATTGTTTTCCGGCCGGGTTTGAGGGTGTTTTCGGCTTCGGGGCTTCAGGGTCAGGGCTTTTCTGGTGTGGTTCAGGGCGGATTTTACCCCGTATCCTAAACCCTAAGAATGGGTAGAGGGGGGCATTGGCCCAAGCCTCAGTCGGCCTTCGCCCTGTGGGTCATCAGCAGGATGACAGATGACGTCCATTATCCGCGGCGCCTCGCAACCCTCCACCACGTTGTTTGTGAAGCTTGTCCTGCCATAGCTGTATCCATTTTGTCCAGAAGAGCTACCAGAAAGCATGAGAATCACCGGTTGGTTCTCCCAAGTCAGCTCCCGGCGCATGTGCCTGAACGTGTTCTGCGTGATGTGGATGCTTTCCTCCCCAAGGCTGGACGCACCGTATGGCGAGCCCAAGATTTCTACGGCATGGTTCTCCCCTGCCTCAAAGACACACCCTGCGATCTCCACTCGGTATTGACTGTTCAGGATGTAGTTGGACTGCCAGCTCTGATGGAAACGGAGGCCGGATCGAACAAAGACACTGCTCAGAACACGCACCGCTGCGGCATCGCCTGGACCCCTTGACGGCACGACGCCGCCAGAGATGTAGACCCCAGCTTGAGTGGCGCCGGAGAAATTGCACTTCTTCACTGCAACCTCCAAACCTCGCACAAAGTTTTGCATGTAAAGTCCATAGCCCACTTCCAGGAACGTCATGGAATCCACCACCACTGCCGTGCTGGTGTTCTCTGGTTGTGGGTAATCGGAGAAGAGGTTTAAGCCTCTATAAACATCTTGAACATGGCAATCCTAAGTGGCATGTTTCCAGCAAAGGAAGTCGTCACTACTCTTCAGGGAGGGAGTGAGTATGAAGCTGTAAAACCCATGAGGGAGAAAGGCGTGCGTCTGCTAGCCTTGTTGCCTTGAGAGCTGGCATTCTTGAAGGGGCTCTTACCGACCATGCCCCTCGCAACCCTTCATAATATGCCCCACCACCCCGTACGTAATACTACTACTTCAGACATACGCAGCCCTAACAACTCCGCTACAATCAAGAAGACCCTATAGGTAACCCTTATAGGACCCCTTTAAAGGAACCCTAGGAAACCGATAGGTAACCCTTAGAAGACCGAGCATCCAGAAGAAGCGCCAGCCAGCCGCTGGCCACATCGGCAGCCGGCGAGATGCTGATGGCCGTGCCCTGCGATGTGCCGAAGACTTCACCTCGTATTAGTATTGGTATTAATATTAGTATTAGTATCAGTAATTATTAATGTTACTATTAGTATGGGTTATAGAATTCGTGGATCTGGCTGTCGGCTGCCATAGGGCCATAGGAAAGGCTTAAAGGGGGAAGACGCAACTGGAGTTGCTATCTTGCATACTCGTGCGCACTTTCTCTTCCACGCTGTAGCTCTCAGTTCCTTACTGAAGGCCAGTAGGTTTCGGAAATCAGCAATGCTATAGCGAGCATAGCTCATCAGGAAGCTAAAACAGCGACGGGAACATTATGATGGAACATTATCCCGGGTAGCTGCTTCCAGACAGGAATGGGGACAGCGCGATGCCGGGAGAGAGAAAAAACAATGGACATGGAAGCAACGAAACGGAATCACATGAGTGGTGGGTAAAAAATTATGGTCCCCTTTGGGTCCCTATTATAATACGGCACCGATTATGTGGGATTTAGGGTACCCAAAAGGGACCTCATTTTTGACAACTACCCACATGACACGTGAAACACGGCCCGGTTTGTGTGTGGAGCACAAGAAGGGCCAGATGTCTCCACTCAGCATCTGGGAGTTTCCGAAAATTCGGGTACCTAATATTGGGGGGGGTCCTTATAATAAGAGTCCCACTGTTTAGGGTATCATATTCAGGCCCCCCTATTTGTGGAAACTCCCATCTGAGCATCTAGAACAAAAGCTCGACTACTGCCGCCGATGTGACAACACTCTGGTTTTTACATACCCAGAGACACCAATATCCCTTAATTAAGGAATATTCCTTAAATCATATTAGGGATCCTACTATAATTTAAGGAATATTCCTTAATGAGAGGATATTGGAGTCTCTGGGTACAAATCAAAGAGCTCCCGAGCTGGGTCGGTAGCCTACGGTTGAACATGTACAGTTGGGAAAGCGGGAGGGTGGCAATCCTGCGCCGATACACGCCCGAGTCGCATTTCTGTAGAAGAAGATCTTCTTGCACGGCGTTGAGTTCCAAACCGGCTTCGCTATCTCTGATGCGGACGAAGCGGAACACTGGGCTTCTCCCATATACTTGTATCGCCTGCTGGGCACCTGCGATATCAACGTACTCCATGATACATCCACCAAATCTGGCATCGAATTCCAGCGTTCCCCGGTCGAATCTGCCAGGTACGGCGCCTTAATTGTCTGGCTGATTGACTGTGAAAGTTTGAAGCTCAATGAAGCTCGAGGGTGTGGAAGTCTGCGCAGCTAAGGCACTGCTTGTGAACATCAAACTCTTCCAGCGATCTGCCCGCTGAATCGTAGCCGCTGGATCTTGGCATTTCTGGCAGAGAATCTGGATGCGAGATTCCTCAAGACCGCGGCACTGCAAGGTGCCTTCGATCCAGATTTGGGAATACCTGCATGCCCAGGGTCGCTTCAACAGAGAATGTCCTACAAGAACGAAGTATGCAATATGTGAAGCAGTGGTCGTCTGCGTAGCAACCAAGATACGATGCAGCAAGAAGAAGCACACTTCCGGGAGGAATCACGAGAGTCGCAGATTGCCTGATGATGAGGTTGTAGGTTTCCCACACAATGCCCGCGGGAAGCACCTGTTGTGGCTGGAAAAGGTTTGTTGCCCCGGACTGGACTAAAACACAAGAATGCAGAAGGCATTTCCTAAACCCTGAACCTTCCAGCAGTAGTGTGGGGTACAACAAGACAATACAAGAACTCAAACTCCTGAACGATGGCCTGGGATTCAGCACCTGGTAGGATGCTCGCTACCCAGATACGGTTTAGGGTATAGGGTTTAGGGGTCGGGGGCTCCAAAAGCCCCCGAAACATGGAATATACCTTAACCTATAGTAGGATCCCTAACGAGATTTACTGTGAAATCCTTTTTTAAAGGGCTTTGGGAGTCTCCAAGTACTTGAAAGGAGATGAGTGCTTCAATCGTTGAGGCTATGGGAGGGACTGGAATTGGGAGGTAGGCGGCCGAAATGGGTGGTTGTCAACATGATGGTCCCTTTTTGGGTGCCCTAATTATTAGGTGCCGTACTATATTAGGGACCCAAAAAAGGACCCTAATTTTGATAACCACCCAAATGATCAGGGTAGGGTCTTGAGGCAGTTTAGCTTCTACTTGTATAGGGAGTCGGAGGGTGCCAGTAACCAGTAGCTAGTATCGCTTCAGGACCCTTTACTAGGCTTTGACCTTAGCGGATTCATGCAAAGCACCTGGAAGGAGTTGAGAACGCCATAGAGAAGGCCATGAGTCTCGTTGACTTCCTGGACTATACCGTCCTGACTTGTCCTTTAAGACCTTTGAAAATTATTTACTATTGTGGTTCCCCGCAGAATAGTAGGGGAAATTAAAAAAGATCCCAAAGGACAACCCAGCGTCGAACTGCTGATTCCCCAATATCGCCAGGGGCCTCCGGCAATCAACCATGAAATCGGCGATGCGACGCCAAAGGAGACCAGAACTTTCTCTCAAGTCGAACTCTGCCACCTCCTCCTCCCGATCTTCCGCACAGCTCCCAACTATTGGAAGACCAATATCGTAGGCAAGCTCTGGTGATGTGAAGATATTGTTGTGCATCCGCACCCCGTCTGCAAACGACTGAAAGTTCAACCCATAACGAGCCGAGTTGTTGTCAAACAAGTTGCCCTCCACGTTCCACTGAACGTTCTGCGACGACGCGGCACGTAGTTCAAGCAGAGAACTGGACTCCGACAGTGGCGATGAGACGACGACTCCCCTGAATTCGTTGCCTTGCAGCAGCAAGCTTGCACCGCTATAGGCTACCTCTATGCCGACACAGGGCTCATCTCCCCGCCAATGGAGGAACTGATTCCCAAGAATGAGCCAAGACGGTGTGGCGAGACTTGCTCCGCGTTGCGAAACTTGCAGGTGCATGCCGGAAACATGCGAAACTCCGGAGAAGATGTTTCGAGTAAGACTGATAATCTGAGCACCTGACCCGTATTGAACCAAGTTCCCGTCGAAGTACAGCCCACCGTCTGTGAACGAGTTGCCCTCGACCTTGCACGATGCAGCGTGCGCAGCTCCCTGACCATAGCCCGGCGATAAATCAGCCAACCAATACCCCTCTCCTGAAAATGAGTTGCTGACAATACGCGCATGGGATTTGTAAGAATGGAGGTACACTGCTGTCCACGCATTCCCGGAAAAGGTCGTGTCCTGAATGAGTATGGGTGAACTGGCATCGGTGAAGGCAATCCCTCGTCCGGCATTGTTGCGAACACTACAGCCAATCATGGGTGGCACAGCCAGGCTTGCCCGTACACCGTCCCCCTTCCCATTCACGATGTCGGTATGAATGAATACGGAACCACCTTCTTCAATGGTACTGTTGCTCGAATCATTCTGGCTTTTAAGAGCCAAACTTTCATTTACAAGCACCAGCTCTGCAACAAGCGCATCGGGCGCAAACTCTAAGCTGGCGTGCCCATCCAGAATGACGTGCATCTCCTGCAAAACGTGGCGCACTGTTGTTGCAAAGGCAGTCACTGCAGCAGCAGCAGCAGCAGCAGCAGCAGCAGCAGCAGCGATAGTTAGCAAAGATATTGCTGCAGCTGCTGATGCCGTTGCGGCTCCCACCACCGTCACGACCAAAACAACTACGGTAATCTACCATCACAATTTCCATCAATAACACTGCTGCTGGCTGCGGCGACCGGTAAGTCTGGAAACAGGAATTGGAGGCATGCGTGGCGAAATAAGGAAACGTGAGTCAGGAAAAACATGAATCGGGAACGGGGCGTGAGTCGGGAGAAGAGAGTACGTGAGTCGTGAACAAGACAACATGGTTATAAGACTCTTATATACTCTTATGAGGGGAACTACCCACCTGAAACCACCTTAGAAAACGGCGTGATGTTAACATATGTGACCGATGCTAGAGCTTTCCCAGTCTTACTGTTCTGTTTCGGTTGTAACGTGCCACAGGAGGTCTTCGCATGTGCCCTTGTTGCTGCTGCCACAACCAGTCACCATTCACTAAAACTACCACTACCACACTGCCACTGCCTCTATTTCTACTGCTACGACGACGACCACCGCCAACCACCGACCACGGCAACCACGGCAGTGAGCAGTCATCGTAGCTACAAAAACACAAGCGCTCGTGGCATGAGGGTAGTTCTCTAAATTAAGGTTCCCATTTTTAGGTCCCAAAAATAGGACGGCACCCCTGTAAAAAGGACCCTAAAACGGGACCCTAGTTTAGAGAACCACCCATGAAAGTGCGCCACAAGCCTCGTAAAATCACAAAGCTCTAAAGCGATCCCCTGGCGGCCTGCGTACCGAGCGCAAGCAATGCTGAGTTGGACTCCACCAAAACGGAGATGCCGGGGGCAAAGGTGAGGTTGACACCAGCCTGAAGTAGAAGCCTCGCACCGCCTCGAACTACGACTGGGGCACCCACAACATAATCTCCTGCGGTCAGCAACTCATCGCCAGCCTCAATGACTGCGTAAATGATGGTCAGCACCCCTTCGCGGACTTCGGTTTGGATCTGCGACCTCTGGCGGGTGATGTGCTGCAAGCTGCCAGCATCATAAGGAACTGTGAGCCATGGCTCATAGACTGTAATCCCACTGGTGTCGTCAATGGCGGACTCAATGGCAAGCCCTGTCCCATCTTCCGACTCCGTGACGTCCGCACCCCAATAGTTGCCGGCTGCATTGATACTGCCGGTGGTTACAGAGAGCACTCTCAGCACAGGACTGTCCGCCGGGGAGTCATCGAGAACCGCGTTGTCTCTCATGCTCACGTTGCTGCAGGCGTCCAAGGAAACCACCTGGGCGGCTCTTTCTCTCAATTACTTGGAGTAGGGTAACTATAATTATAACCCATAGTAGGGGACTTATGATTCAACTTATAACTACCCATGAACCTCCAAGTAATGCTCTCAAGCGCCTTCAGTCAGTGTTGTTTCTGGAGGCCTTCTGGAAAGAACCCTGGTGATTTCCTCGCCCCGGCAACTGCGTCAATCGAGCGCCGGGGCTTGTCAATATGTGACATGCGACCTTGTATATGAAAACGTAGGTTTTGCAACCTCTGCACAAGCTAAACTAAACAGGTGTTCTGGGCTTTCTCTGGTGTCACTACAGCCCCTGTGCAGCCTTTGGACTCAACGCCAAAGACTATGCAACCACAAGTGTTCCCAAAACTTGGCGAAGGCACCGCCTCGGATGCAGCATGATTGAAGGTATTGTTGAAGAGGACAGCGGTAGCTGCAGCTAGTCGGCACTTGAGGAGCAAAGATCTCTTGCAGCGTGGGTTGAGAATCCGGTTGCCGCAAAACTCGACACGATTGGATTTGAGGTCCAGCTGCACGGAATTGAAGTTGGCATCCTGCTCGAGGAATTCGTTGTCTCGGATGGCAACATTGGCAAGGGGACTCCACGGAGAGTTTGCTGCCACTCGAAGCTGTATCTCCCCTCCTCGAAATACATTGTTATTGATCGCGTAGTCCGCTGCCTCGTCTGAATAGCTTGCACTACGATGGACGATGACACCGTCATGGGAGCAATGGCTGAAGATGTTGCCTTGCAGCTCCAAAGGGCCATCCTCCAAGTAAGCAACGAAGCCGTTACCAAACCCGCTGACTGTGTTATTTGCAAACGTCACTCGGCCATGGACGCTGGACACTGAGACAGCGGAAGAGAGGCCGTACCTAGCTCATGGTTGGAATAGGATTAAAATATATACATTTCTATTCCATATTGGGTTTAAGTACCCACAAAAATCCAAAATGTTACCCAACTGTGACAAAGGTACTGGTTCGTGAAGACCGAGCTCATAATCTGAACTTCCTGAATTTTCTCAGAAGAACCGGAGCCCTGGATCGTCAAAGCTGCCAGGGGACAATCTTGAAACCTGGCGTTCGACACTGTCAGTGAAACCTGAAGGTCTTTCAGTTCAACTGCAGCGTGTGCCTTGGCATTCAGCACCTCAACGTGAAGGAGCTCAAAGAGGCCACAGGGTGCTTGGCACTCCAAACTCGGCTTCCCATTGCTGCCGGCGTCGCTGATCACCATGTTGCCGAGGGAGAAGTTCTGCATTCCAGAGAGCAAGACCTGCTGCCATGGTCGAGTGGGATCAGCAGCGATGAGGCTGACTGGCAAAGTGCCTTCTTGCGAAACTCGAAGAGAGCCGTCAGCATGAATGCCGCGCTCGGCATGAATGCGAAGGGTCAAGTTTCTAGGCAGCTCCAGTGTCTCGCCAGGTCCTATGTAGATAGAGCTCTCAAGATCTACAACAGTGTTGGCTTCGAAGGCCGGCAAAGGCTGCATAAAGCGATCGGCGAGGACCACTCTCCAGCGGTCCATCCTCTTTGCAAAATCCTTTATCCTTGGGCCGGCATCGCCTGGGTTGCTGTCAAGAAGACTCAAGCCGAGCGACTATAATGGACAAGGAGGAATGTAGTATAGAGTGTGGAGAGTACGAAACTACCCTTTTCCGTCTTCTTCTTCCCCAGCTTCATAGCTTTAAAACCCTAAACTCTAAACTCTAAACCCTCAGTTTTAAATTCAAAATAAAACCCTAAACCCTAAACTCTAAACCCTCAACCCGCCCTTATCAGCCCAGCCGCCCCATGTTGTCAAGCGAGCATCAAGGCTCTTCCTTGCATCTCCAAGAGGAGCCTCCAGCTCGAAGTTACCTTTGCTTAGTGGGGAATGGAAGAATGGTAGTAGTAGTAGTTATATGGTAATTATATAGTAGTAATATGGTAGTAATATGATAGTTATATGGTAGTAATAGTAGTTATCATTGTACCCCATTCCTCCATTCCCTACTAACCAACGGTAAGCGAAGAGGCTGTCAGGGTTGTCCAGGGTGTTGTTCAGCAGCGTTGCGTTGTAGCGGAGGGCCAACGCGCTCTCGAAGCTGTTGCTCACAATGACGTTGCCTCTCTGATATAGGGGCTTTAAATATTAGAATAAGGTTTTGAGGCGCAATGTACTATAGTTATAATAAGGAACCCCCCAAAATAGTATGGTTAAGGCACCTAGTATAGAACCCTACTATAGATCCCTCATAGAACCTTTTACAGATCCCTTTAAAGGACCCCCCAAAAAATAGTATGGCCTCTCAGTACGGAATCGTAGCCTCTCAGATCGATACCCAGATCTCCGGAGCAGTTGCGCAGCGTGTTCTTGGTCATGGACACCGGGCCCCATGCCCGCACCACATAAGGGGCATCCTTTACCTGTAGCCGAAAAGACCTACTTTGTTAAGGAACTGTATTTAGAAACCACAATAAGGAACCCTATACCGTTTTACGGTTCCTTACTATGGTTTCTGTATATAGTTCCTTAAAAAGGTAGGTCTTTTCGGCTACAGGTACTCCTTGAAAGAGACATTGATCCAGCTCTACAGTTGAGGTGGGATTGTAGATGTAAAGCAAGCCATCCGCCCCATCCGCCCCTGGGTCATGGTTGGGATAGAATGAAAAATCTACAGTTTCTTTATTGGGTGCTCTAAACCCCAAACCCTAAACCCATAATAATAATAATAATAATGTAAAATGTTACCCAACTATGCCCCACCTGCCGGGCCAAAGCTGCAGCCCTGGACTTTCGCCCTGGCTTCGGAAGAGAGCTGAAGCCGCAAGGCTCCTTGGAGGTGCATCGGTAGTTTTTTAGGGTTCCTTTAAGGGCCCCTTTTTAAAAAGATCTATAGGGATTCTATAAGGGTATAGGGGCTTAGGGTTCATGGGTAGTTGTAAGTGGGGTTATAAAGTAGAGTAACTAGAGTTATAACCCATATTAGGGGACTTACAACCCCACTTATAACTAATGTAGGAACCTGATTAAGAAACCTTGGGTCCTTATCGGGGTTCCTTATATGAATCCTACTCCATTGGGTTTTTTTTCGGCCCAGGGTTTCTTAATCAGGTTCCTACATTACTAAAGTAGCCTTTTAGATCCCTTTTCGTAACCCTTCTAGACCCCTTTAAAGGGACCACCCTAAACCCTAAACCCTAAACCCTAAACCCTAAACCCTAAACGCTCCAAGGCTCTTGGGCTCCGAAAGCTGCAGCTTGAGAGCTGAAAGTCAAGCATGGAGTAGCCGTAGAGGCTGATCCCATGGGTGCCCTCGAAGGTCCTGAGTTGCTGAGTTCATAAGCCCCCCCAAAAGGTGCACACTTTCAGTTCTATAGTGGGTATAAGATCAACTTAGGGTTTAGGGTTTAGCCCAAAAAGTGTAAAGTGTATCCACTCAGCTACTAAGGGTCGAGTGCGCCACGGAGATGTTGGCTTCAGAGCTGGACCTTTGAGACGACATGTAGATTGCAGCGCCTGGTTGCCCAACACAGCCTGGAGTAGAGTGCGATATGAACCCTGACTCCATCACTGAGACTGAACCAGCAATGCCGTAGACGGTGAAGCTTGCACGGCCAGAGCAACCGGAGTCAAAGGTGGAATTCTGGATGCTTATCTCTGCATCACCTGCCTTCCCGATCTCCAGACCTTGGCTGTTCTTGATCACGACTCCGCTGAGGGTGAGGGGCGTCACCAACGAGCCAGGAGTGTACACTGCGTAGGATGAAGAATGCTGGACTACCGTTCCGGGAAGGAAGCTTGGAGCACGGTTGGCCATCAGCACGCCAACAGCTGCCCACTCAATGATGCAGTGCTCCAAGAAAGAACCGTCCGAGATGTAGGGAGTGAACCTCGCTTCAAACCGGTACTACTCGTACAACAATCTTGAGCTTCTCGGGGCCCGTTCCAAGCGAGTTTTTATACAAAGTTGCTTCTGAAGAGTCGAGGAGCTCAATCCCCTCCCAATATCCGACCTGCTCATCGTTCCGGGTCAGAAGCACGGGAAAGGCAGAATCTCCTTGACACTGCAAACTGCTTCCCGTGTCGAATTTCCTCAGCTGCCCTGCGCGCCCTAGCAGCCTTGCTTCAACAGCTACTATAGGGGCCTTGATAGTTAGAATACGGTTTTGGGGCCCGTTATTCTATAACTAGCTTAAGGATCCCCCAAAATAGTACAAGTAATTGTTAAGGCCTCTATACTGCCGATGGACAAGATGGACAAAATCCTGCATTACCCATTATAAGGAATATCCCATAGTTCCCATAGTTTAGAGTCCTGAGGGTCATGCAGGATTTTATCCATCAACAGTATTACTTGGAGGGTCGGGGGACTTAGTAACTGGTTATTTTGGGGACTTATAAGTACCATAACCCCAATTAGGGTCCCTGTTTAGGGTACTTATAAGTCTACTTACTACCTACTTACTAAGTCCCCCGACCCTCCAAGTACCCTCACTGAACTGCCAGAAAGTTTCAAGCCGGCTCCGGAGAGGAAGCGAAGTTCAGCCCCAGGTGCCAGCAGCAGCCCTGCTCGAAAAGTTACCCTTTGCCTCTCTTCTCACATAACCAGGCCCAAAAAAGTTCTCAAACTTTTTAAGATAGACCAAAGATACAAAGCCAAAAAGCTTAAAGTTCTCCAATTGGTTGAGTAAGCTGCTCCACGATGAAAGGGGACCCGGCAAAGTCCCACAGCTGCTGAACTTCAATGAGCGCGCTGTTGATGATGGTGGCTGCCCAGCAGGATCCTAGGAGCGTACTTATGAGAGCAAAGCCATGCCATTGCTGAAGGATGCGCATTGGAGACCCGCCCTACTGCGTGAAGGGCAGGACTTCGACGAGGCCAGACTGTTTCAAGCCAAAAAGAGCTTAGCCAGGCCAGCCTTGTCAACGAGTCATTCAGCACAGGAAGTCTGTATCGAACATGTCCCAACCTTGCTCTCAAATTCAGACAGCAAACTCGGTCAGGCCAGCACTTTGTATTCTCTCCGCCAGCGTGGCTCATGCTGCTTTATCTCTTCTGGCTGGTGCGCGGGAATGCGGAAACGACAGAAACGCTTGAAATGCTTCATAGCAGTTTCCGAAGCCAAGGTTCCTCCGAATACAGGGTCATCCGGCTAAGGAGGCCACGGTTTAGGGGTTTAGGGTTTAGGCTTAGGCTTTAGGGCTTGGGGTTTAGGGTTTAGGATTCCATGCTCAGCACCAGCCAGCCTAGAATGCCTTTCTCAGCAGTCTTCATCCTGCAAAAAGTTCGCAAATTTGGCTTTTCTGTCTGGTTCTTGGTAGGGACTGGGGGAATGGGTTATTGGGACTACTATAGGGGACCTGCAGGGAATATCATAGGGATCCATTCCCCCATTCCCCTACAAAGAACCAGACAGTTTTTGGGGGATCATCGTAACAGGTGATAACGAATCAGATCGGTGCATCTGTCAGCCAGCCCCTCGCACTCAGCTTGAAACCATTGAGCATTGCGCTCCCTTCTGCATCCTCTAGGCTTCCAGAATACTCCGCCGTTGCGAAAATGGGGGTTGCAAGCGAAAGCCCGGGAAAGTTGGCACGTGTTGCGAGGGAGTTGCCCATGCAGGCACTAAACTGATCGAACCACCTGGAGATCGTTCAGCATGCCGTCACACCAGGCCGACTTTGGAAATCTCAAGCTCTGGGTCTGGTTTGCTTTAGATGAAAAGCCTCGAGCGAGCAACATCGCCTACATCATAGTACACAGCAAAACTGCCAACTCAATTTGTAGATGGAGTCTGCAAGGTGGTTCTTGAATACCAAGGCTCGCACATGCATCCTTCCAACAACTTCCCCCCGGCAAAGCCCCAGGTGTTCAGTGAGAAGCCTTGACCCAACGACCAGAAAAAGGTGATCTGACTTAGAACTGAACATGGGTGGTTGTCAAAATTATGGTCCCTTTTTGGGTCCCTATTATAGTACGGCACCTAATATTTAGGGTACCCAAAAAAGGACCCTAATTTTGACAACCACCCACATGTCTCTTGGCTGCGGAGAGTCGGGTCGGATTTCTGTCAAACCCTAAACCCTAAACCCATTCACCTTTTCGAGCGTTCGAAAAGGACCCCTTTCAGTTGAACCCCGAGACTCGGAAGTAGTCGGTTCTCGCACAAATACCAGGGTTTAGGGGTTTAGGGCATTAGGGTTCCTTCAAAAGGCCCATGAATTCCACATGGAATTCTGACCCAGATACTAAGCCTGTCAGCCGACCTTAGCATGATTGGCACAGTCCTTGGGTCAGCTGCACCAGCAATTGCGGCAACGTTCTGCCTGTACCACTGGGCATCCTACAGATCTCCTAAACCCTAAGCTCTATAGATCTAACCCCTGAACCCTTCAAAGGAAATCGTTTCAGGAAGGAAGCCGATTGTAGTGTGAATAGTAGCAACTATACCTGCAACTATATATGATAATGCTAACAGTAGCCCTGAAGGAAGCCTCAAAGCGACGACATCTTCCTGTCCAGAAAATTACCGAAACACACCTGGCGAACTCAACTCAAAGTATTGCACTAAACTGGACGATACTATCCTATCCTATGCTATGCTATACCATGCGATGCGATACTCTACTCTACTCTGCTGCTATGAGATTTACAAGAGGAGACAACGTCCCCCACAGTTGAAAGCCTCCTGAACTCGGATGCTTGAAACACGTCTCTCCAAGGGTAAAAGGAGGGACCCTTAATGAGGACCCCTAGGTATATACCCTTCATTATAGCTACTATATACCCATTATATAGCCCATTACAGGGACCCAGGGGTCCGCAATTAAGGGTCCCTCCTTTTCCCCTTTGAGTCTCCAGCCAAGGCTGGGTGGCTCTGGCTCGAAATTCCGGCAGCGGGCCCGAAATGCTACCGTACTTAGAGGATCATGGGACTTAGTAAGGTTATGAGTAGGTTATAATTAGGATAACCCCACTTAGGGGACTTATAACCTCAATTATAACCTACTTGCTAAGTCCTCCGACCCTCCGAGTAGACTAGTCGTCTCCTCCCTCGCCCCTTGTTCTGTCTGGTTCTTAGTGGATTATGGGGACTAGTATTGGGGATTATAAGGCTATAGGGATCCATTCCCCCATTCCCTACTAAGCACCAGGGAGTTTTGTGGGGTGTAAGGTTTGGGAGTTTTGTTCTGCACGTGGGTTAAAGAAGGTGCAAAACCATGGCTGCTTGGATCGACACTCCTGTCACCTTATGAGCCCGCTGCAGAAAGAAGCGGCGTGGTCTTCAGACGACAAAATTCACTGCCGGTGAAAGAATAAATACTCTTCCGTACCTGACTTGACAGCTCCTGGTGAAAAAACTGTCTTCGAGTGGGCCTCACAGCCCGCGCAAGCTTCGAATCATCTGCGGATGGGCAACCAAGAAGGACGAACCTCGAAGCGGCAGAGCCTTTTGGTCCTTGCACGTTGACGCAGCCAGTCTCCGGCAGCATGGCAGCGGTGGAAAGCCTCAAACTGCAACACTGGCCAAAGAAACTATTGCACAGACAGGGAGCGATCAAACCACTTGGATTACTGTATCGAGAGTAGCTTCTGGCTAGCTGGGACCAATGCAGGAGACTCGAGAAATTGAGACATTTGCGCTGCATGATTTTTTTTGCGCAGTCGTCAAGGTTGAAACTTCTATCGAGCGCCCGAGTTCAAGGCCTGCTCCGGTTCAGGATGGCAGCAGGTCATGCAGAAACACGATTCCCCTCGTGCATGGTCGACGTAATGCAGACCACGCGAAAGCCAAAAATCAGAAATCCCTCTAAGACTCACTTGGAGGGTCGGGGGACTTCGTAAGTAGGTAGTAAGTAGACTTATAAGTACCCCAAAAGGGACCCTAATTGCGGTTATGGTACTTATAAGTCCCTCCAATAGCCAGTTACTAAGTTCCCCGACCCTCCCTCTAAGACTCAACGTCGGGAAAAGCCCAGCAGGTGCTCTCCTGAAGAGGCGAACCTGCGGGGCAAAAGCCAAACTCGAGCTCTGCTATACTATACTATACGAAATTATACTAAACTTTACTATACTATAGTTGTACTGTACCATACTTCACTATGCTCTACTCTGCTTTACTGTACCGCGCTATACTATATGTACTATACTGCACTGTTTTTCTGTACTATATTGTACTTCACTGTACTATACGGTATTGTACTATATAATATACTGCACTGTTCTGTACTAGACAAAACTATACTGTGCTGTGCGATACCATACCATACTATATTGTACTGTTCTGCAGTGCTGTGCTACACTATACTGTACCATAGCCTATACTGTACTGCGCTATACTATGCTAGGCTATGCTGTGCTCTACTCTACTCTACTCCACTCTACTCTACTCCACTCTACTCTACTTTACTATACGACACTATACTCAACCGTACTATACTGTGAACTATTATACACTACACTATACTATACGCTATACTATACGCTACACTATGCACCACGCTATACACTATACTGTACACTATACTCTACTATGCAAGACGATACGATACCATGCCCGACTCGACTTGACTACAATATCAATATATATATATATATATATATATATATATATATATATAGGACTCGAATCGCCGCAGCAGCGCGGAACTATCGTTAGCCCCAGTGCCCATGGAGGGCACGCCTTCACCTGGAGCCGCACTTGCGTTCTAGAAAGGCTTGCACTGCTCTATCACTTGCTGCCATCTTTTATACCGTATTGGATCTGTAAGGCTCTGCGGCTAGCCCGGAGGTGCCAAGGTCTAGAGGGCTAGCCAAGGCATAAACTCCCCCGTTGGACTAGGCTTTGTGAGAAGTCAGTCAGTAAAACTTCTGAGAAGGCCAATAACTAGGCTCCAAGGGAGCCAAAAGGCAGTTCTCAGGGCTGAGAAGCGTACGGGCGAATGCCAAAACTGTGATTGGCTTAAGAAGGGCTGTGCAAAGGCAATCCGATTTACCTGGGGCAGGCGAGTCGGGCTCCGTGAAACTTTGGTGAAAACTGAGAAGGCATCACGTTTGGCGTCAGCATGAAGTCGGTGAGCTCGGAGACGAACGTACCTGAGCGGAGAGGGTGCGGGCGGGTAACCGAAGGAGGCTAGGGAACTAGAAAGGTCCTAAGGTGAAGGCTTTGATAAGGCAAAGAGGCTAGACGGAGCCGCCTGAGTCAGGCGATCCGTGGCGACGGAGTAAGCTCGGCTTGTGCGAGCATCCGGCCTCGCGGAGGCCAGGCCGTGATAGCAGATCAAGGCTGAGCTGCAGCTGCAAGGCTGGTGTGGCTTGGTTTCAGCAAGAAGGCCCACTCAAGGCTGAGGCTGGGACCGAAGTCGATACCTAGGTGTGGGCGGGTGGGGCTTTTCGAGAAAACTCAAGTGCTAGAGCCAGTGCTGCGATGTGCTATAGATTCACATGCCTTCTAAAACATACGTGAACAAAAACACGAAACGTTCTAGAAAGGCTTGCACTGCTCTATCACTTGCTGCCATCTTTTATACCGTATTGGATCTGTAAGGCTCTGCGGCTAGCCCGGAGGTGCCAAGGTCGAGAGGGCTAGCCAAGGCATAAACTCCCCCACTTCAGGGACAGATCCAACCGGTAAGGCAGCAGGCGAGTATCCCCCACCGCGGGCGGTGGAGGTGGACCTGAGCAGGCAGAAAGAGGCAGGTCAAGGAACAGGCCAAAGGTCGCAGAACAAGCAGGCGTAAGGGCAGCGGTCCTCTTTTTCATTTCGGCATGGCTGGCGGGAGTCGGTCTCGGCGCAGCTGTCACTCCGGTCTGGGCAGTAAAGGGCTTGCTGTGTCTGGGGGTCCTGACCAGGTGGCCTGGGAGGCCGCGGATGCAAGTCGGTCAAGGCTGACCCGAACTCGTTCTTGAGGTCTGTGGCTGAAGGCTTGAAGCCGACCTCGGCTGAGGTCGTCCGCCCATTGGTTGTGTGCTCCTGCAACGGGAGAAACTTGTAGGTCAACGCCATGGCAGGATGACCACGAAGCTATCAGCTGTAGGAACTGCGAGAGGGGCCAGCTGGTTGTGAAAAGCTTGTTGATGCCCGCCTCTGATGGCGTGTTGTCGCTCTGCGACGGCAAACAGACCGAAAACTGCGAGAAGGCGTGGCGTTCTCGGGCTGTCATGGCAAGTGCAAGCTGAGCTAGCGTCTCGAAGCAGGCAATATATTTCTGGGCATCCTTGGTGAGAAAAGGCCATGTGCTCCTCACCTCGTCCATGGTCCAGGCTTCGGCAAACCAGGCCATGCTGTGTTTGGTGGTGATCCATCCTCCGATGCCAACTCTATCCCCTTCAGCCATGGCGTCAGCTCTGGCTAGGCACGCGACAAGGGGCGGAAGTGAGAGGCTTGTTGTCGGGATGGCTTCAATGCGTGGCAGTAACCAACGTAGGCTGTCCTGGGCCGTATTAGTCAGCTTGATCTCAGGGCAGGTGGGGGTCCGAGATACGGACCCAAGTAGGTCCCGAGGACTTAGGCTGTGGCGGGAGGTCGGCCTTGCAGTGCACAGGTCGACTGCCGACCTCGATGATCCGGGCCTTAAGCGGCAGGTTTACTCCTGGTATGAGCCGGCAGATGACGGCTCTGGAGTCTAGGCTGTGGAGAAAGGCTGGCCACATCCGAGGAGAGATAGAGCAATTGCTGCCTGGAGGGCTGTTGAGGACACTGTTTGAAGGCGCTACGTGGGCTCGCAGAACCTTGCTGACGGCGGTCGCCCACATGAGTAGGCCTATGCAGGCTTCGAGGTCTTTCCTGGGGACCTTTTTGCATGCTAGTAGGGCCTTGAGCTGACCGCAAAGCTTAGCTCGCTTGGCCTCGCAAAGCTCAACAGTTTCGAGGCGAAAGTTAAAGTGCCAACCGCACCAAACCAGGCTGTCCCCGACTGAGGCCTTTTTCCAGCTAATTGGCGCGGTAAGGCTTGATAGTGTGGCTATGAGGAGGAATAAGAGTTCTGGCGCGAAGGCGCGGAGTAAAGCTGAAAGCAGGTCATCGACATAAAGCCAGGCTTTGTGCGGGGCGAAGGCTAGTGCGTGGTGGGCAATGCGAGTGATAAGGCCTCCGACTCTCTGCCACCAGTAGGCTGAAAACTTAGCCCCAAAGTGGCAAACCACGTACCTGTAAAGGATCTTTTCGAACATGAAGAGAAGTAGGCCTTGTTCGGAGCGGTGAACCTTGACTCGCTTGTGGGCTGCCTTGAAGTCCACACTTGCTGCAAGGAAGGACCCTCGCGGGTCTGACGGCATAAACGTAGCCCGGACATCGTTGACGGTAGGCATTGAAACCGCTTCGGGGATGCGGCACATGGGGTTGACCTGGCAGACCGTGCTATCCAGAACAAGTCGAGGGTCTCTGTTATCCGCCTTCACCAGGCTGAGCTTGCCGACGGCGATGCCCTTGGGCCAAAGCTGCTTGGCTTCCTCAAGGCCGCCTGGCACGGGTTGTATCCATCCTGCGGCTTCTTCGTCTGCTAAAAGGCTTCGTACTGTATCCGGGTCTGCCTCGGCTGGCTTCCAGTTCCCCTCACATACCTCCAATCCTGATGAGGCCAGGGGCTGGATCTTGGCTGGTGGCCACAGCCCCGAGGGCTCAATGGGGTCAAAGACTCCTGTATGCACCCCCACGCGTAACAAGGCTGGGAGATCTTTGTCTGGGTCGTTGAGGAGGTCTGCAAAGGCTTGCATAAGATTGAGACGAGAGGGCTGTCCTTCGGCTGCTTGCGTCATGGAGTCGTAGTCCCATTCCATGACCTCGCAGGCTATCCGAATGAGCTCAAGTTGGTCTTCTTCTGGGATGGGGTGATCTGGTTTGCTTTGGGCGAGGTGTGCAAAGACCGTTGGGATGCCCATTTGAGCCAGGCTTGCATAATGTCTTGCATGGCTGCAGGACTCGGCTGAGGTCGGCTCCAGTCCGCGGAGCTGGTGTTGCCAGCGCCATCACAGATGGGGGCCCTGTCATGTGCCAGTTCTCCATGGCATTGTAGGGCGGATGCTAGAGTTGGAGGCTGAGCTGGTGTGGTAGAGAGTGGCATGGCAGCAAATCGTCCTGCTGCCTCCAGAGCTGCAAGACCCGGGTCGACGCAAGGCCACGTGGGCAAGGGAGCTGTGGCTATGAGAATCCTCTCTGAATCTGGTTCCGGGCATAGAAATAGCCCCCCGTCGTGGAGTGCTTCGCAGAACGGTGGCGCCTGGAAGAGGAAATGATCTGCCGGCAGAAATAGCAAGGCGGATGCTCCGGAGGAGCGGATGGCTTGCAAAAAGGCACATGCTTCGTCGAGGTGTGGGGTGAGCGAGCTGAGGTCTGCAATGAGGCCTAGAACCACCCGTGACCAAATCGCCTGAAGGAGAAGGTCGGGCAGATCCTGGCTGTCTTCTCGCGATAGGTCAATGGCGCAGACGTTGGCGTCGCGGGCATGGCGTAGGCATGTGGAACCTATGGGGATGGATGGGCAAACGGCTAAGGTCTTAAGACTGGGGATTACAGGGGGCTTATGGCCTTTGCATTGGCTCCGAGCCGTCCAGACCCTGTTAGCAAACCTTCGTCCCGCCGGACTTCCGCCGGGGTTGCGTGTTACGCGTGGCTGAGGCGGAGGCGGCTGCTGCGGGCCTGTGGCTTGGGGTGATGGCGACGGGTGCTGCTGAGAGCTCCCGGTTGGGTGAGGCTGCTCCAAGGCTGAAACCTGTGAGGCTTCAGGTACCGTGCCGGGAGGAGGCTGAGGCTGCTGTTGCGTCTGAGGCTCTGATGCCGGGCCTAGTCACGAAGGCTTCTTGTCGTGGTCGATGGCGCAGTGTTCCTTGCCGCAGCCCCTAACCGCACATAGGTGGGCGAATTTGCAATTGGGTAAGGCGCAGAGATTCCTCTGGTAACGCTTGCAGAGCACTTTGCCCTTGGCTTTCAACACCCAATTGGAGGGCCATGACTCAGATTTAGATGGGCTATCTGGCTTCTGAAGGCCTTTGCCGCGACCTTTGCCCTTTCCACCTTTTTCGGTGGTTGGCGTGTTGAGGCGGATTCTCTTGCTTGGCGGTGGAGGCGGGTTCCCCCCATGGGGACGGCGGTTGGGACCTGGCAGTGTAGGCGGGGGCCGAGGTCTTGGCTGTAGCAAGTTGGCGAGGTCACTGCGAATGCTAGTGACCTCATATAAGGCTTCATCAAGGCTCCAGCCGGATGCAGCAAGGCTCGAGATGGTATTCCAGATCTTGCGATCGGCTGTCAAGAGCTCTTGCGTTGTAGGGCCTCGGAGAGAGGAGTCGGCTAGATCCGGCAAGGCTAAGTGCTCGACTCGCTTGTCAAAGGCTTTGAGGTTGTTCAGGTGGGCTGCTCCACACAGTGCCCACGCGTTTCGGAACACTGTTTGGACGCGCTGTAACCAAGACACAGAAAGGCGGAGGTGGGAGACAGCCATCTCCGGCGTATCGTCGTATATGGCTGATGCAAGAAGCTGTGCTTCGGTCCGGATGGGCTTGGATGATTTGGCTTCCGTAATTTCAGAATACTGTTTGGAGCTGAGGCGAAGCTGCCATGGGATCCATTTAAGCTTCTCTCCTGGCTGAAGGCTGTGTTGCACCAGGCTCAGGAGGCGGATTGATGGCATGGTGTCATCGTCCAGGAGCTCTCCGGGGTAATTGGCTTTAAAGGTCGTGACCAAGTCTTGCACGACCTCCGAGCTAAGCTTCGGCGGCAAATGCTCCATCCATGAGGATGGTGAGGTCGTGGGGGCTAAGGCTGCTGGGAGGGATGGTATGGCAGATGGAGGCTGAGGTCCCTCCTGTGCTTTGTGCGCTGAGCGCAAGGCTTTTCTGGCTCGTGCTGCCTGGACCGAATGTAGTGCATCTGAGACCCCCATGTCGCTGAGGTCCGACTCCGAGAGGTTCTGCAGAAAGGTGTCAAAGCTAGTAAGGTCTGGGTAGGCAAATGCCAGGTCCTCAACTGTCTCAAGCCCCTTGAGGGCGAGGCCGTTGCAGACTACTTCGTGCACCCCCTGCGCCTGCAGGAATGCTGTGAGCTCCGATTGCTCAAGGAGCGCCATAATTGTTGGCAGTCTAGTTGCGACTTATGGGGTAAGCCTAAACGGCTGCGGCACGAATGGCATGGCAAGAGATCAGGCAGACCGGGCAAAAGCACGAGGACGCTCCCGCGTTTTCCTTAAGGCAGTGCGTCAAGCAGGCGTCGGCAAGCCGCTCTGCGGCAGAAAAAAGCTATGTTGGGACATGTAAGGCAAAAAGCGGCCGTGGAGCGGGGCGTCCCGCATGCCGCTTTGTCGGCTCCCAACGGCTGTGCGTGCACGGATCCCCATGGTCCGTTTTGGAAGATAACTATTTCTTCCACTGTCGGCAGGGTGGTGTGTTCCTCCGAGTCGGATGAGTCGGCTTGTGAGGCCGCGAAACTCTCCACTAGCAGGGCCTCGATATCGTCTGCGGGTATGGTCGGGGGGAGGCTGTTGGCCCCGGGTGTTCTCTGCTCCGATGGCCCATTGCTCGGTATCGACGGAGTATCGGCACTTTCCGCGGTGGCCGGTTGGGTTTCGGGCCTAACCTGCTCCAATTCGGCTTCACGTGAGTAGATGAACCTGTCTAGGCCCTTTCCGAGGGCGGAGAGCTGGAAGGCGTTGGGTGGCGGTGACGAGGTGACTGAAAAAGGCGGCTCCACTGTCGGGTGCTGTCCTCCCCTGGCAATTGGGCGCGACGGCGCCAACCTGAGGCACATGCTTGGGTGATGTCGGTTTGTAGGGCTAGCGCTCCGAGGGTATCATCTCTCCCGTAAAGCTGTACGCTAGGGTTTTTGTGATGGCCTTGTTGTTGGCGTATTTTATCTGCGGCCTGGATTTGTGCACCGGCGCTCAGCAGGCAAACCTTGAGGCTGTGCATGGTGAAGGCGGAGGCTTCTGCAGGTGTGAGCAGCTCCGGGGAGTTGCCTTCCAGATGTTCGCGGCACATGAAGAACCGAAGGCACCCTAGCGCTTGGCTGTACGACATAGGCTGGTGGTGGGCTGCCGCTGGCTTTCCTGGGAAACCCCTTAGGTTATGAAGGGTGGGCAGAATGAAGTCGGGGCAGTTTTGTGTGCCGTAGATCTGCTCGGTACGCTCCCATGTTGTCTGGACGGCTCTGAGGAAGGGTAGCACCCAAAGGCCTGCCGGGTCACGGCCGGAAATTCCATGGAGGCGAACAGCAAAAGGCTGACCCCGCTTGGTGGTTTTCGTATGCCAGCAAACCGCTCTAAGGCTATGTCCTGTGAGGGATAGGCTCTTAAGGCTGATGCGCTGAAGATCCCCAAATCGCAAGCCCCCGTGCAAGGCTAGCAGGAATCCCCCACTCCTCCTGGCAAAGGCGGCGTTCCCAGGCGACGACCACGGCAAGTGGCAGAGGCAGGGCTTCTCGTCTGTCCGTGTCGGTCTGAGCCGTAAAGGTCCTGATAAGGCGGTTTGACAGCACAGCCGCAAGCTGGGCTAGTCCGGCGGTTTTGGCTAGCCATGAGAGGGCTTTGATCATTGGCTTGGGTCCGGTGCGGCATACTTCTCTATCTTCTTCGAGGCTAGAGTTGCAAGCCCAAAGGAGGTCGCCAAGGCAGGCTACGGAGACCGAGCTGACTTCGAGGCTGTTGAGGACCAGGTACTCAATGAACTGTCTGCAGGCTGACAAGTAGGTTTCGAGAGTGCCGGCAGTATAGGGCATGATGCTTTGGGCGAGAAGCTGCTGCGAATATTTGGCTTCCTGAAGAGAAGCTCCTTCCACTGTTCCAGGGCTTTGGCTTTTCTGGAATCCTCCTGGCCTTTCCTGGTAACCTGGGTGGGCCTGCCGCCAGGGCGCGGTGGCTGTACCATGTCCGGTAACCGAGTGTGACGGATCGGGTTCGGGGCTGACGCCGGGCGAGAGGGCAGATCCTGAACGAGGAATCTAGGGCCGAGAGGCTGTTCCTGTCCTGGCTGTGGGCGTGGGGGTGGCAAGTAACGAAGGCTTCTCGCACGGCCGGCGGCAGGGCTGGAGGGGGCAGGCCCGGCCGTGTCTTGGGCGCCGACTGCAGGGGTAGGAGAACATGCTTGTCGGCGCCTGGCGGGATAGGGTTCACTGTTGAAGCAAAGGCAGAAGAGTCTTTGCGAAAGCGTCGGACCACTGTGGCCCGTTCTTGCGTTGGTGACACGCGGCTCTCCCGGCTGGGGCTCCTGCTGCGATCTGGTTGGTGGGCTGTAGGCTGATCTTCGTCCGGGTGGAGAAACCCCGAGAGCACCCACAATGGCGCCGGTAGGGACCTTCCTGTTCGCTGAGCATCGCTGTGCAGGCTGTTGACTGGGCTCCATGATTCTAGGTTGCTAAGGTCGTCCGGGTCTGTGTCTGGATCCATGATCGGCTGAAGGCATGCACAAGGACAAACGTTGCAGAGCACGTGCAGAGGCTGAGGTCGCCGCTGAAAGGCCAGGCTGGTCCTGCAGGTCGGGACTGAAAAGAGCGCAGCAAATTCGATGTAAGACCGATCAGCGGAGACTCCGAATGCAGAGCACACTTTTTGTGGGCCGATGGCGGCGGTCGTGCGGCGCAAAAAATGCCGTGCGCCTGCGCATAGAAAGTGGCTGAAGGCTAGCTTTTATGGAGTTGTGTAAAGGCTGAAAAAAGGCAGTGTAAGGCTGCGAAGGCAAACGGCTACCCCAAGGCGGCCTGGGTGGGTACGGCAGAAAACCATTCAAAAGGGCTGCGACCAAGGTCTGTAAATTCTTTGCAGCGCGAACATTCATGGCCGGAGTGCTTGTCCCGATGCTCGACGGTCCCTTCGGTGATTTCGCGTCCGCAGGCTGAATGGTAAGGACAGAAAGGCACGGTCGAGCATGGAAGGCCACAACGCATCTCACCACGGCTGCCCAGAAAATACATCCTGGCGAAGGCTGGGTGCAGGTCGAAGGTGTGAGGCAAGGTAAGGCTGGGGACAATGATGCAGTTGCGCATGTTAGGGCAGGGCAGCCTTGGATGGGCCAGGGCCGGCGGCTTGTAGAGGTACGGCTTGGAGGGCGGGTCGATGGTGACATTCTTCCGCTTGTCGACCAAAGACTCTGGGAGGGCTTTCATGTCCTGAAGGCAAAGGGCTGGGACCGACTGCTTCCCCATTTGGCGGGGGTTAGCTTGGCCCGTGGCACCGAAGTGCCAGTAGCGAAGGACCCCAGTATCCGCTGAATACCACTCCGGCAGCGGTGGGCAAGGCGGGAGGTCCTCTTCCTTTCCGGAGGACTCGGAGTCCTCCTCCTGGCCAGGCTCAGGCTGGGAAGGCTGATCCTGAGCAGGTCCTGGCTGGACCGTGTAAAAGTGGGCCCCAACGTCGATCTCCACGGCTGTCTTTGGGGGCTCCCCGCCATAGAAGTTGATCCATGTACGGGCGTCCCAGATCACGGCTAACCCAAAAGGCTGGGGTGGCCGCTCCGTTCCGGAGTAGGTCGGCTTGTGGTCGGAAGCCATGAACTCGGGTTCGAAAAAGATTATGCAAGGCTGAGTGCGGGGCCTGGTCGGTGCTGCTGGAGGCAGGCTCTGGGGAGGGCTTTGTGCTCTGCGCCGCTGCGGTCGCCATCGGTGTAGGCTGTGCCTGGTTGCAGGGGGGAGCTTGTGGGGGGGATGTGGAAACTGGCTGTGTCGTTCCGGGCTCCGCAGCCTTCGGTTTGGGCGGCGGGGATTGCTGCACCTGTGGCATGGCTTTGGTTGGCGGGTCTGCCTTGGCTGCATCGGGCAAGAATGTTTGCTGTGCCGGCGGCTTCCAGTTCTGAGGGACTTCGGGTGGGCGCTTCTGCTGCGGGGGCTTCTCTGAGGGCTGCGGCTGGGAAGGCTTGGATGGCGGCGGGGTCTTGGTGGGAGGCGGGACGGCGCCAGAAGGCACGGCTTTAATCGGCGGGGGAATCGGCTTTGGCATGGGGCATGGGGGAAGTGTCCGGCTGGCTCGGTGGTGCATTGGGGTAGTTTGGGAAAAAGCTGGCCGGAGGGCTGAGTGGAAACTTATCCGCTGTCAAATAGGCTCCGGCTTCCCTGGCCACGCCTAGGTCGGGGCGCTTGATGAGCTGCCAGAGCTCATGGCGGTTGATCGGCTTGGACTGGGCCTCCGGGTCAAAGAAAAGCAAGGGAAAAGGCTGCTGGTGTGTGGCTGCTGTGACCACGGCACGGCTGTCATGTCGATGAGCTGCCCCATCATCGAGAACAGGCTTGCCTGTGGTGTGGCGTGGAAGGCTGTGGATGACGAAGGCTCTTCCATGGGGAGGTACTCCCCGCCGGCTTGAATTGGCTCTTCCGAGACTGCCTGGGCACCGGCATCGGCAGGAGGCTGAGAAGGCTGGGCCTCGTGATCCTGAGAAGGCTGGGCAGGGTCGGCAGCATCAGAAGGCTGGGCAGGGTCGGCACCATCAAGGTCTCCCACGTCCTTAGGCGGGACGTAATCGAAGCAGGCTGGAATGGGACCTGTATAGCACCCTTCTTGGGCATGATAGAAGGCTTCCTGGTTTTGATAAACAAGGAAGCTACGTGGGGAAAGGCTGGAAGAACTATTGCCAGGCCGAGAGTCATCCTGGACGGCTGTGTCGGCTGCCGCCTGTGCGGATGCAGAATGCACGGCTTTGAGCTTGGCTAGTTCCTCGGGGGCGAGGGTCTTCAACCAATTGGCGAAGGCATCGTGGTCGGATGCCATGGCTTTCGAAGGCGCTGAAGCTCCCATGGGGGCTGTGATCAAAAGAGCTCTGGATGTGTACAGGCACACTGAGTAAGGCTGGTCGCTGGCATGAAGCGGATGCACATGCGGGTCCTGTGGCTTCAACCGGCTATGGCGCTGTGACCTGGCTCAGGGCATGGAAATTAGCAAGAGGTTGTGGCAAAAGGAGCGGGCCTGAAAGAGGCTGGACCTGAGCAGGGACATCATGGTGAGGCTTCATGCAATCGGCGTGACCAGACTGCAGGGGTCTTTTGGCAAGCGAGCAAGGCTGGATGCAAAAGGCTATGCTTCAGGATCTCCTTCGGAGTCCAACAAGGCTGCGGGTCCTTGATATTGGCAAGCATCCACGGCTGACTCCGTGAAGTATACGGCTATCGTAGGGAAGGCTTGCTGAAGAGTCAGGAGCAAGCCGGCTACCCTGGCGTAGGTCTGGTCCAGGCGTATCCTGACGGCGTCCACCTTCACACTGAGAAAAACCCATGGCGAAAGCAAGCATCGAAGGCGGGGTTGCTCATGTGCGCGACGGCTATGATGCCACAAGGCTTGTTGTGCACCGCGTCGGTCGGCTTCCAGAATGCCGATGCGAGCTTCCAAAGATCTGAGGCGATCGGCTAGTGACTGTACAGTCGGCTCGTCGGTAGGCTCTTGGCTGAAGTCCTGAGTGGAAGGCTGTGGTTGCAGAGCATCATAGGCTGAGCTGGTATCGGGGTCGAAGGCTAAGGGGCCGGATAGGCCCGCGTTCATGCGGCCCATGGCTGAGAGGTTGGTCACATTGGCAGTCGGCTGGCCCTGATTCCATTGGAGAGCAGGGCTGTTGGCAAAGGCAGGCCAGGGTGAGCGCTGTGCGCGCTGATCCTGGCGGCGGGGCTGCTGGTTCCCCCGCATGTTGTCTAGCCGAAAGAGCTATGTATGCCGGCTGCAGTTGACCGCTTGCAAGGCAGGCAGGGCCCGGACCGAGGGTAGGAGTGGATCAAGTGGATCCTGAAAAATCAGCCGAATCAGGCTGGCCATCGAAAGATGAGGTGCTGAGGGCCGGGGAATCCGAGGGCAGGGTCGATGTCGGCTGACCTGAAGGCAAAAGAAGCGGCTTGATCTGAAAACATGAATGACAACGAAGGCCTGCTCTGACCAACATCTTGGCGCAGGCCCGAATTGGCTTAGGAGGCTGAGGTGAGGGCCGGGGTTCGAAGAAACCTGGAGGGGCGGCACGTATGAGAAGAGCCAGCTGCAAGAAAGGGCTCATAGACGGCTTCAGAAAACGGCTTGGTTTAACGGGCTTTCGGGTTGGCTTGTGCTCGCTGAGGCTGCAACGCCCAGTCTGCTGAAGATGCCTGAGAGACAGCAAGGCATAGGCTCCCATGTGCCGGACTCGCAGAGGGCTGGCCATCTGAGGGCCGGGGGTGTGAGGCAAAAGGGCCAAATCAGCCGCGGGCCTTGGATATGCGCTCGGCGATATAATCATGGCATGCTTTGTTTAAAAGGCACAAGGCAACGGCTTCCTGGCGTGAGCTGGCAAACAAGAGAATATTGGCACAAGGTGCAACCCCAAAGAGGAGGCCTTCAAGGCTCCAGCCAAGAAAAGGCTCACGCAGGTCCTTGGTAGGAAACCAAAGCACCTTGCAGAGGGGCGGCTGAAGGAGCCAGAGCAGTGGAACCTTGAAAGGGCTCCAAGGCAACGGATGGCGATAGCGTAATCCTGGCACAGCTGAGTCAAGGCTGGACTCCTGTGAGTCCGACCTGGTGGAGGGAGGTGGGCTTTCGAGAGCTATCCAGATACTATCCTGGCTGCATCTGAGGCCTGAGGGGACAAAGCAAAGCGCTCAAAGTACGCGGGGGGAAGGAAGTGATAGCTTTGATATCCCCCCCCCCCAAAGGGAAAAAGGCAGGCTGTGGCTGAGACTGAGCTGTGGGCTGAGCAAAGGCTGGCTGAGTCGAAGTGCGGGAGGCCCCCGGTGAAAGCTCAGAGTCGGGCTCCGGCTGCCGGGGCCCGAGCCAGGCAGAGGCAGAAGGCTCTGTGGGCATCAATGGCGTAGTCGGACCTAGGATGCAGCTAGTCGGTAATGTCCAAATGCGAAACGATATATTCATGCGTCTCTTGAGAAAGCAAGGCTAAAGGCAGCCAGGAAGGCCCCCCTCCAAACAGGAGGAGGCGCGGCCCGACCGTACCTGATAGCAGGAGGTCCTGCAGGCAAGTGCTGTGAGGCTGTCCCATGTAACCTGGGAGAGGCAAGGCATCCAAGAGGCCTGGCCAGTGCCATTGGTACGGCAAAATCCGCAAGGGAAGGAACAAAGGGTCGGGCTGTGAAGGCTGCATGGCTGGGGCCCCGGCGGATACCTGAGATGCGGCAGGGGTCAAAACAGCATTTCCACCATAAGCTGATGGCACTCATCATTGGCTAGGACCAAGGGCAGCCATTCATGAACTGGAAGGCAAATAAGAATGCGAGGGCAAACAGTCCAGGAGAAAAGGCATTCCTGGAGGCAGGGTTCTAGAGGCTGGCCCTCATGTGGCTGCAGAGCGAAACATTCCTGAAACGTAATAACGTACCAATCCCAGTTATGCAGGGCTAGACGTGCTGGGGCAAAGGCAAAGTCCGGGGGACGAATCCACCGCGGAGGCAAAGGCGAAGGCCTGGGCAAAGGCGGGGCTTGACAAAGCGCCAACTGAGACGTGGCAAGGGGCACAACAACATGTGCCGGCAACATGGCTTCGCTCTAAGGCAGAGACAGGTAAGCTACAGGGCAGTAGCTACGGCTAAATCTCGCTTTTCGAGAAAACTCAAGTGCTAGAGCCAGTGCTGCGATGTGCTATAGGTTCACATGCCTTCTAAAACATACGTGAACAAAAACACGAAACGAGGCGGCATGAAGATCTTTGTCAAGACCTTGGACGTTGAGGCCAGTGACAAGTTCGACAAAGTCAAGGCTAAGTCCCAAGATAAGGCAGGCATCCCGCCCGACCAGCAGCACCTGATCTTTGCTGGCAAGCAGTTTGAGGGCGGCCGTACTCTTTCGGATGACAACCTCCAGAAGGAATCGACCCCTGGCGGCATCCAGATCTTTGTCAAGACCCTGATGCTCACCTTGGACGTTGAGGACGAGCAGCACCTGATCTTTGCTGGCAAGCAGTTTGAGGGCGGGCGTATTCTTTCGGATTACAACCTCCAGGTGGAATCGACCCCTCACTTGGCGCCGCACTTGCGAGGCGGCATGCAGATCTTTGTCAAGACCGTTGAGGCCAGTGACAAGTTCGACAACGTCAAGGCTAAGTCCCAAGATAAGGCAGGCATCCCGCCCGACCAGCGGCACCTGATATTTGCTGGCAAGCAGTTTGAGGGCGGCCGTACTCTTTCGGATGACAACCTCCAGAAGGAATCGACCCCTGGCGATGGTAAGTACGATCGTGACATGCGGCACTATGAGTTCAAGATTGAAGGCACTAACGTTGCTTATACGATAATTGCGATAGGCGAGCGCCTTGACATCTGGCTCCGCAGCCCGGTAGACCAGGTCCTGGAGTTCTGCGGCATGTCGACGGGTTTGTTGGGCGCTTCGCTTTCGTTAGACTCGGACCTCACACGTGTTGGTGTGTATATACGCGGTCACTGTATGCAGCGGCATGTCTGAGAGGGCACAGTGATGTTTAATTTTCCATTGTGAGGGACCTACCCTGTAGTTGGCCTCCCCTGTTCCCTGGAGGAATACGCTCAGGGTTCAAGTGTGAATGCGTTGTACATGGCACGCATGTTTCGAGTGGGACGTGGTTTGAATGAAACCACCATGTGGGGCTTTGAAAGGCTTTGTCTTGTAGTTTGCCTCCCCCGGCCCCCGGAGGAATGCTCAAGATAGTACTGTTTTTGTTCGGTTGCCGGTTGTGAAAGGTTCTACGGTGACAAGTAGAACCTCAATCGAGCCCGGTTGCGTGCGTTAGGTAGCGTTTTTGCTTTCAGTCCGAGTGCCAGGCATTTGTAGATTGTGTATGGCTTATCCCCATCAATGCCGGCAGCGGCTGTCCCTTGATGGCTCTAGTTTTGACTTTTTGAAGAGATGTGCATGGCCGAGACAGCTTTTGTACATGCTGGTTCCACGTTGGCATGCTTCCTCTTCTGCAGATTTCTGCTCCGCTCGGGTTTATTCCGGGCGAGTGCACACTGCTTCAACCCTGAATTCATTGCTAGGCGTGCGTCCTCTGGACCCTGAACGCTACGAAGAAGAAATATATATATTATCATATGGATGGTTGTCAAAGTCATGTTCCCTTTTTTGGCCCCTAATATAGTACAGCACTTATTCCTTAGGGGACCCCGAAAGGGGCCTTAATTTTGACAACTACTCATATACTATACTGAACTATAGTATATTATACTACACTATACTGTACTCTACGATGCGATAGTTAGCTAAACCTTATTCTATTATACCACACTGCGCTTCACTACACAACACTACACTTGGGTGGGGTGGGGTGGATCAGACTAGACAAGACTAGACTGCATACTGCATTATGCCATACATATATCATACCGTATCAGATACTATACTATACTGAACTTGGGACCCCAGATTAAATTTCAATTGTAGCCGCTTCTTAGGGATTATAGTATCCCAAAGTTTTCTGAAGATATTTCTAAGTACCCTAAACTCATCCCTAAACCCCTGAGCATGGTATATGTTAGAAGCTGCCCCCACCCCGTAATAGTGGTATAATAGGAATAGAATAGGGCCCTATTATACTCCTATTATACCACTATTACAGGGTGGGGGCCGCTTCTAAGAGCCCTATACCTATATCCCTTAGTAGGAAGTATTTAAGAAGGTCTACTAGCGGGTCTGTTTATTCTTTTGGGGGGAACCATAAAAAAGGACAAGGCTGGACTATTAAGGTCCTAATATATCTATATTATGAATATTATTTAACTATTACTGAGTGGGGGCAGCTTCTAAGGTCTACGCAAGCTCGAGCTCAGAAAGCTCAGAGGATCGAGGCCGGGAGGCCCAAAACGGCGAGGACCAGGCCGCCATACCTGGAGGTTCCATGGGTTTAGGGTTTAGGGTTTTGGAGTTTAGAAGTTTAGAAGTTTAGGAGTTTAGGAGTTTAGGGTTTAGGGTTTAGGGTTTGAGGTTTAGGGTTTAGGGTTTAGGGTTTAATGTTTAGGGTTTAGGGAGTTGTTTTAGGTTCCTTTAAGGGCCCCTTGAAAGGGATCTATAGGGATTCTATAAGGGTACAGGGTTTAGGCTTCAAGGGTAGTTCTGAGCGGGTTAGGATACTGCCCCCACACAGTAACAGTCTATAATCGGGCTAGACCAGTATTAAGGGCCATATTTTTTCTATTATGAATATAATCCAACTGTTATTGAGTGGGGGCAGTATCCCCTAAACCCTAAACTCCTAAACTCCTAAACTTCTATACTTCTAAACTCCAAAACCCTGGGGGCAGTATCCAATATAACCCCACTGGTAAGTACCCATGAACCTCCAAGTACCTCCCCCAAGAAGGAGCCCGGAAGGGTTTCGAGGTGTACGGAGTGTACGGGCTTAGGGTTTAGGGGTTTAGGGCTTTAGGGCTTTAGGGCTTTAGGGGTTTAGGGTTTTAGGGTTTGGGGTTTTAGGGTGCCCTCTCAATTCAGCAATTCACTCTAGGTTGTTGCTTTGCTCTTTTTCTATGCTTCCGGGCTTAGGGCTATTACTTACGGAGTATGCCAAAAATCAAAACAGCAATGTCCCTATCATCAAAGGTCTCCATACCTCAGCCGCAAAGCCACAGTCAGGGGTCTTTACCAGAATACCGTTCCCGCGGGGGTCCTAGGTCGAACCTTGCTCGAATGTAGCGTATTTAAGAATAAGAATGTGGTAGAGTATAGTGTAAATATCTTGTAACAGATATGTGCAACAAGTGACCTTATCCCGAACTTCTTTACACAACACTTTAGAAGCTGCCCCCACCCTATAATAGTGACTATAAGGATTATATAAGGGCCCTTTTATATTCCTACTATACCACTATTACAGGGTGGGGGCCCCTTCTTTACACAATACTACATGACTACATTTTCAGGGTTCCCTGCCAGACTAGGACCGACGAGAGGCCAGGACGGGTAGTGGGCGGCGCTGACGTTCTCGGACTCGGCAGTGGTGGTTGTGGTGGTGTCGGGAAGACCGAAGTCGGCGTGGATGACATAGTAATCCTGGGCTCTCTAGGGTTGAGGGCTTAGGATTAGGGAACTTCATTCTAAGTTAGCAGAAATAAGGAAACCCCAGTATTTATCCTAGATCCCTAATACCGTAATTTGAAGCATCCTAAAACCGCATAGAACTCTCAAAGGAACCCTAAACTATAAACCTTGATCCTAAACCCTCTACCCCCCTTAGAACCGTATCAAAAAATAAGACGTTTAATCTCCTCTAGGGTTTAAAACTCCCCGGCCCTCGACCCCTGGCCCGGCCTCTAAGCCCCCCAGCCCCAAATTCGGTTTAGGGTTCAGGGTTTAGGGCTTAGGGTTTAGGGTTTAGGGTTTAGGTCCAGCCTCCCGGCTCAGCAATCGAAAAACCAAGCTCGAAAGGGAATCCTGACACAACTTTCGCTCAAAACGATTCGCTCAAAACTTAGTGGCGCCCAAACCCTTAACAAGTTCTTTGTATAAAGCCCTATAGTACTCTAAACCCTAAACTAGGGAGTTCTTGAACAAGGACCCCATAGTGCCCTTCAGGAGGACCTATTATAGAACCCCAGAGTACCCCTCAAGGGGGGCCTACTATAGTACCCTTTAAGGGCTCCTACTTTAGAACCCCATAGTAGAGGTACCCTTTGAGGGCTCCCTTACTTGGAGGGGTACTTAGTAAGTAGGTGGTAAGTAGACTTATAAGTACCCTAAAAGGGACCCTAATTGGGGTTATGGTACCTATAACTCCCTAAAATAATCAGTTACTAAGTCCCCCGACCCTCCAAGTAGCCCCTGAACCCTGTAGCCCTAACCCAACCTTCGAAGCCTGAGCTCCCAGAGCCTCCAACCCTAAACCCCTGAACCGTAACCCTGAGCTCCAAACCCTAAACTCTCAAACCCAAAACCCTACACTCCTAAACTCCTAAACTCCTAAGCTCTTAAACCCTAAACTCCTGAACCCTAAACTTCTAAACCCTAAACTCTTAAACCCAAAACCGGACCCAGGATCGGAGCCCCAGGGCTCGTACTCCGCCAGCCGCGAGCTGAGGCCCACGTGCCAGGAAGGCGTCATCAAGTTGCTGACGGGCACTTCCTCTCATGATCTGTTCAGGGTTTAGGAGTTTAGGAGTTCAGGGTTTAGGGTTTAGGAGTTTAGGAGTTCAGGGTTTAGGAGTTTAGCAGTTTAGCAGTTTAGGGTTTAGGGTTTAGGAGTTTAAGGTTTAGGGTTTAGGGTTCAGGAGTTTAGGGTTTGGAAGTTTAGGGTTTAGGAGTTTAGGGTTTAGGGCAGGCTTAGCTCCATAGCGGTTTCTCTTTCCAAGAGCTAGGCCCAACAGCGAAAGCCGTCCTCGAGGATGGCCTGGTGCACTGCCAGCGTGTCGGCCACCCGAGCAGAGTGCTGCTCCGTGTGGCCCAGGTCATCCAAGAGGCCGTCGATGACGCCTATACCAACAATCATAATAAATAGTAACCATAGTAATGATAGTCATAGTACTAGTAACAATAGTAAAAAAAAAGTAAAAGCCGTACAGTGTAAATTTATATTCCTAGTCGCTGGAGTTCAGGCCGGCATGGTTGTTGCCGCCATCGCTGCGGAAGAAGGAGTTCAGAAACCACTGCGGATCGCCCGCCGGAAGAGTGTGCTGCGCCCAAAGGAGGAGGTCGAAGTCGCGCGCGGCCATGATCGCATCCAGCTCGTCCCAACTTGAGCCGTCGGTGACGTGGGTGTTCACCACGATGCCCAGCGCCTGCAAGCGCATCTGGATCGTCGGCTGCATGAGGACCAAGCCCGGGCGCTGGGGATAAGCCACGAGCCTCAGAGTGAGGGGAGCACCGTTCTTCTCGTAGAAGCCGGTGGAGTTTTTCACCCAGCCGGCGGACTCGATGAGAGCCTCCGCCCCGGCCTTGTCCGCATGCGGTACGGCCTGCGTCTGCGAAACTCTCAGCCGATCCCTGTCTCTATTTGGGAGTTTCCGAAAACTACGGGTACCTTATTTGGGGTCCTTATAGGGATCCTTGTACTATATTAGGGTCCCCTATTTTCGGAAACTCCCGTTTGTGCAGTCTGCTTCTACCTCCTTCACCCTTCAAACCCTAAACCCGAGAAAGACAGACACTGGCCTCCCCTGAGTGGTAGGGAGAGTTCTCCGGAAAAAGGCTCCTGGTCGGCCGTCCACCACGCAGCTCTTGAGTAAGCTCCTGGTACGAATCCAACTCGTTATGACTACTACGACTAGGAATATCAATATATTGTTATTACAACTATGATTGTTGGCACATGTATTGCTTTTGTTGTATTTCTTACTCCAGCCTCTGTTTCAACTAAGGTTCTCACAGAGCTAGTCTCTCCCGCCATTCAGCTTGGAAGCCATGTGGTTCCTTAAAATTCATTCGGCGATGGCCTCTTCGGCGCAAAGCTTGACAAGCGGCCATGCTACCATGCAAACAGGCGTAGAGAACGACGCCCTACTTGAAATCGTATCGTATACTCGGAGGAAGAGAGCCTGAGGGATAGGTTGGTAATCCTCTTCGCACTCATGATCCTTAAATGCGTCGGAAGAGGCTACTTAGAGGCCCAGGGGACTCAGTATGACAACCCTACTTTTGAGCGACTTACTATGTCCCCTGGGCCTCCAAGTACCTGTTTCTGAGAGTGCTTCTGAAGCGTCGAAAGAGGACAGAGACGAGTCGGATGGGCATCGGGGCCACTCGCCGCAAAAAATGGAAGGGTCCGTGCTTGAAGCCTCATGTAGGAGCCCGAACGATTAGGAACATATACCTGAGGGTTCCTTGTTTTAGATATACTATACTACTAGTACTATATAAGGCCTCATGGCCTCATGATAGGGTTTAGGGCGGCCCTGCGAGTCTCCATAGATGGCCGTCCTGGCGGTCCAGCGCAAGGTCGACGGCCTGGCGCAGCCGCTTGTCGGAGAGGGGAGACCGGAGACTGTTGTGCCACATCATGTAGTGGTAGCCGACCAGGAAGGACTTGACCTGGGATTCACTGCCGCTTTCCTCCTCTGCCTAGAGCGAGTGAGGAGTCTCTAAAGAATCGGAGTACGAAGGGACAACGCAGAACATGACGGCATCGAAGATCCTAATATGGTACCCTAAATAGTAGGATCCTGATTATAAGGACCTCAAAATAAGACAGACTCAGAGCTGTTGGTGTCGCCGGGCCACCGTGACCCCAGTCACCTGTCGCAAGGCGGGCAGCTCGTCCACCGGGAGGTGGAAGGCCATGTCGACCTGGGCGGTTATCAAAATTAGGGTCCCTTTTTGGGTCCCTATTATAATACGGCACCTAATACTTAGGGTACCAAAAAACTAATAGTTTTGATGACTACCCAAATAGAAGAATAGAAGACTATAGCCCCTACCTTCCTTACAGTAGCCCTTATAGTAGCCCTTATAGACCCCTAGAAAGGAGCCCCATTCTATCATAATTTTGGCAACCACCCACCTGTCCCTGCTCCAAGGCCTCGGCCACGGCCGTTCCTGTGGAGAACCGCTGGATCTTCAGCAGCGGCCTCTCCTTAGGTTGCTTGAAGGGTTCCTTTTAAGGGTAGTCAGGGTCCCTTTAAAGAGATCTATAGGGATTCTATAAGGGATCCATAGGGTTTAGGGCCTACTTGAAGGTTCATGGGTAGCTTTAAGGGTTCCTTAAAGGGCCCGTTTCAAAAGGATCTATAGTGACTCTATAAGGGTGTAGGGTTTAGGGCCTACTTGAAGGTTCATGGGTAGCTATAAGGGTTCCTTAAAGGGCCCCTTTCAAAAGGATCTATAGCGACTCTATAAGGGTGTAGGGTTTAGGGCCTACTTGAAGATTCATGGGTAGTTATAAGTAGGGTCATAAGTCCCCTAATCTGGGTCATAAGCATAGTTACCCTACTTATAACCCTACCTAGAACTACCCATCAGCCTCCAAGTGGAGTTTTTTGGGGCCCGCAACAGGGGTTTAAGGTTTAGGGGCCTTGAAATGGTTCCTTGAAGGGATCTATAAAGGGTTTAAGGATTTATGTATAGAAGAGGTAAATCTGTAGGACCCATAAAGGGACACTGAAAAGTTTGCCAAAGTTTCACCAAGTCTCCAAGGCACGGACATAATGGGTGTTCGGCACCAAGTCGATGTGGTCGCCGCTGACGAAAGTCTCAACTTTGTATGGTCCCGTGAAGTACCTCTGGCCCCCCTTATTCAAATACACCACGAAAGGCCACTCCGCCAGCACAGCGTCCATTACGGGCGTGGCACGCTCCGAGACGATCCTCACCGTCGAGGCGTCCGGCGCCGTCACCGTCATGGTGCCCAACGAAGCCTGGGCTCCGGAGTTCTGCTGGTTCAGCTCCGTCAACGCATCTGCGACATGCTGTGCCGTGACATCGGTGCCGTCAGAGAACTTGTAGCCGGGGGTGAGAGTGACATCCCAGGTGAAGGTGTCCACCTTGGAAACAGACTGACCCACCTGGGGCACAATGTTGCCGGTCTCGTCCACGGTGAAGAGCTTCTCTGAAATGCCATGGCTCGTCAGTGCCCACGCCGTGCTTCCGGCTGTCGGGTCCGTGGATCCCGCCATGAAGGTCTTGCCGACCACCAGCGGATCATGCAGTTGGCCCATGGCCGAGGAGAACAGCAGGCTCAACAGAAGAAGAGCCATCCTTCGCGAATCCCAAAAACCCCCCGGCCGAGCACTAATTCCAAAATGGCTGCGTCGCAGGTCAAGCGGATAGAAGGCACTGTTGTTTAGCTGTCCCTCTGTCCAAAGGCGCACGTGCCAAAACCGAAGACGGGCTGAGACTGCTCAAGGCACTGATCGCCAGCTGCAGAATCTAGGAGACGCGTTTTTCGAAACAACAAAGCAGCATGCTCCAAGTGTTCCAGGCCTCTTGTCTGAGCACTGCAGCAACCCCTGCCAGCTTGCCTGGCAAGTTGCGAACATGCGGCACTGTGCATCGGGACTTTTGCTACACCCATCGAAAGCTTTCCGGGTGAGCACCTGGGGGTAAATTCAACAGACGAGCAGGGTGCAGTGCAAGAGAAGACAGACGCCAGCACGCCGCGAAACCATGTCCACCTGAAGAAAGCTTTACGGGAGAGCTTCCGAATGCCGAAGCCTGCCACCAATGAAGGCATAGGGTTTAGGGTTTAGGGCTTACCTTGAACGCTAAACTTGACAGAGAAATGAAAGCCATGCCTGCCCAACATGCAGCGCACGGCACAAACAGGCTGTAAGCGCCGTTCATGTTGTTCAACGTTTCGTGACTGTAGCTGTGTTGTACTTTGCAGCATCCATTGACCGTAGATGGAGGAAATCCGGCACTCCTTCTGGAACACAACCACAAAAACGTCTCACTTCGCAACCCCTGTTTGAAGTGCATTGCCTTGAAACAGCGGTCTTCAAATGGCTCGCGCGAGCAGCTCCCAATGAACAGGCATACTTCACCGAGCATCGACCCCGGGGGACATCAGCCACGTTCATTACTTGCACGCTTCCGCGCGTGAAAGACGCACTCAAAGCACGTACGCATGCCCCGATGAAAGCGGACTTTTCTTTACAGGCTTCTACCTGCAGCATCCTGCAGCAAGCATTTTATTCTTGCTTCATCGTTCCACTCACACGCATGGGCCATTCCTGATAGGCTCAAATGTTGAACAGCGCTAGAAAATCAAGGATGTGCGTGTGATATGCAACCAATCAATGGATCGCGTTACAACATCCAAGCCCGGCCCAGGATCTTTCCCATCTCTTCGAGACGGCTCTTCCTCTACTGAGTAGGGTAGAATGATCGCCCGGGAGGCGCCGAAAACAGGAAAAGCTTCCGTCTACGCCTCCTTCGTGTCCTCTCCACAGAACGCTAAACCCTAAACCGGCCTAAACCATACCTTAACCCTGAATAGCCTACCTTTTTTGGGCTCCCTATTATCATTTCCTTATATAAGTCCTCAAAAAAGTAGGCTCTTCAGGGTTAAAGTAAACCCTACACCCTAAGTTCGGATCCGGCCCATGGTCCGAAGATGACCCCAGGTCCCCAAGAACGAGGCGAGGCACAAGGATGGCGCTGTTTAGGGTTTAGGGTTTAGGGTTTAGGGTTTAGGGACTTTAGGGTTTAGGGTTTAGGATGGCGCTACCGCGGTCTCGGAACTCACACGAGGGCTTCGGCCGCGCGTTGGAGTTGAAGAGTTTGGGGTTTAAGGTTTAAGGTTCAGGGTTTAATGTCCCTAAGCCCTAAACACATGAAATGGCTAAGTGTGTCCGTCTTGCAGGGAGCCTCGGGCTGTCTGCGAGGAAGAAACATTCGGCTTCTGCGCCTCGTACAGCACTAGATTTTTCGGAAACCCTAAACCCTAACCAGAGCTTGGGGGACCACCTGGCGCTCCGCGGCCTCGCGAGCTTCGCGCGCCTCACGGGCATCCACCAGCAAAAGCGGCAAGGGTGTCGAGGCGAAAATGATGAACTTGATCCAAAAGTGCCAGAAACAGCGGCAGGAGCATCAACGGCGGAGCATCAGCAGGGCAGCGGAGGTGCATCAGGGCTTTGGGTTTAGGGTTAAGTTAAGGGTTAAGGGTTCAGGGTTAAGGTTTAGGGTTTTAGGGTGAGCGGCAAAAAAATGAGCATCACGAGCACGCACATGCGGAACATAAGCCATGCATTGCTGAAAAAAAGCCTGTCGAAAAAACAAATGCTACATTGAGTCCATGTGCAAGATTCCCAGTTTTGCTGCGATACTGCGGCAGTGCATGAGTCGGCCACGAAACGTTCACAATAGCCAAGGAGCCTCAGACAAGCATCAAGTAGTTAAACCTCTAACTTGCTGCGCAGTATGTGGCCGGCCTCGCACTTGCCCGGCATCCGCTGAATCTGACCTAATGGGCGCAAGAACCGCTCATGAACCCCAGCTGAGTTGTCGCAGGAGCGCAGACGAAGCTCGGATCCCCGCCAGCTCCACATTCAGGACAAGTCCAAGCCTGCGGCTGCGCATTGCAACCGGCTTCCAGAAAAAACCGCTGCGGCCTGGACGTCAGAAAATCTCAGCAAACAAGAACTTCAGGCGAGCATTGGAGGACATCAAACTCTGCACCAATCCCTTTTGCCCAAGGGCTGCATGGCTTCACACCTCTTGCAAGCATAATTTCCACAGTTTTGCGTCATCTGACTGGCAAGCAGTATGTTGATTCAAGTGCCGGGAAAAGCCTGTACCGGTATCGTTGCTTTTCCTCACGGATCCTGCACCGTAGCGGGGAGGGCTTGGGTTAGCCCCCCCAGCCAATGCCGTGCATCCTTTCCGCACAAAACGCGCAGCGCAAGCATTGCAGAGTCTGGTACTGGTACACTGTTTTCACAGTTGGGTGCAAGAATGACGGCTCTGACGTCCCAATCGGGAAAGTGCTTACAGAGGCACTCCATACATTCCGCAACACGGTCTCTCTGTGCAACAACGTTACGTTTCTGGCCGCCTGCAACTTCGATTAGTCCCAAAACACCACTTTTCCAAAGCCACATGTCGATGCCTTTCTGTGATCCGTTCTGCTCATCTGCCCTGAACAGAACTCCTTCCCTTTGCGCGTGGAGATTCTCGTGAAGTTCTGTGGTGCTGCCTTTAAACAGTCGCCCAAGCTCTAGTGCTTGCACCTTCATTGGAATGTCAAAGAGGGCAGCATCGCTGATACAAAAGTGTACCCCGAGGGACCACCAATACAAGCTTTCCAATGTCGACCCGACCAGGGCATCCTTCATCGTTTGAGTCTGATGCAGGTCTTCGAAGAAGCTCAGGCGGCCAACTCCCCATATCTGACACACGTCGTTGCCATCTACTTCTGGATCTGGAAGGTAAGTCAAGAGGGTGCGCAGGTGGCCTGCTATGTGCCCGGACTCACACGACACCATGGGAACATTCTTGCATTTGTCCTCCCAAGCGGAATTCGCCGTGCCTCCCGTCAGGAGCGCCGGCGCACCAGCCACAGTTCTGGTGTCGTTCCACAGTCGGTTCATGCACTGATTACTGAACTCCTTCAGCTGGTTGAGCGCGTCATGGATGTGCTTCCTGTCAGGGTTATCCGCCTTGCACAAACCACTTAGATGCTCGAAGGGCCGTTCCACTTCAAGCTGCTCAGGTGCACGGATGGTGGCTTGTAGCCACCCGAATCCCTTCTCGATGGCCAGGAGGAAAACAAGCAGCTTCATAGCCATGAAGACCCGAGCTGACAATGCTTTGTCGCCATTCATCAATGCCTGCAGCTGTGACAGTCTAAGGCCGAACCGGTATCGCAGAACGTCGGATAGACTTGGAAATGGTTTGGCAAGAGCCATCTTGCTCAAGCAGCTGGAAGGCGGAAGACTTGCAGAAATGTCACTCCATCGTTCCCAAAGTGGTTCTGTATATGTGGCTACAGGCGAAACTCTGGCATCAAACAGCAAAAAACTCATGGAAGCTCGTCTCAGGTCAGAGTCTGCGCACATCTTTTTGTGCTCATCCAGGTGGACAAGCAGTTTGCCCGACCTACCCAGCAAGTCATCCAGTAGCCGCGTGCGTGTCCGCTCAAGTTGGCGCAACGACGGCGGCGCTAGCCATGACAGAAAAGGTAGCGGCCTCCTGTGCTGCATGGCGAACAAGGCACTCCACAGCGCAAGAGCTTTGACACGAAAACGACGTCTGACCAGCGTCAGCACGAACAGTCCTAGCAGCACCAATCTCATCACCCAGCGCTGTCCCGATGATGGTACCCAATCCACATACTGACCCATAAGTGCCCTCTGCAAGCAGTTCAGCATGTACACTGACCCATATTTTTCTTGCCCAAAGCCACACAACATTTCCAGGGGGCCCAGGGCTGGTAATGGAGAGTGGTGCCGCTGTCCATGTCCTTGCTTTTCGTTATTGTGGAAGGGCATGTACAAATGACGCCAATGGCGATCTGTATGCATCTCTTTTTCCATCTCCTGGAGTTTTAGAAACGCAGGAATAATACAAGCAGACTTGCCAGAGCAAGACTTGTCGGAGATGTAAAAGATTGTATTCCGTTTCGAGCTCCACGGTTGCAGTAATTTTTGAGCAAAGCCCGTCAAGGTCTCCGCAATGCAGTAATATGCACCTGCAAAATTCAGACTGCACTGCTGGCTTCACCTACATGTGCCACCCTGAATCTACTAAAACGCAAAGTCTAAGCAGCCCTAAAGGAGCTGGAAAGCATGAACATGAAAGAGTTGCCTTTCAACTGAGGGCCCCGCACTCGTGCAGAGCAACTGTCTCGTTGGCGAGGCTCCGGGTCGGAAGATAATTCTTGAAAGTCTCTACGTCCGCGTAGAGACTGAATCTTGTAGGCGCCAGACTCCCAAACCATTCCTCAATTTTGGATGACTGGTATGATGGCTTTGACGGACTGTCTGGCAGGCCAGCATGGCCGCGAGAGCGCGGTGTTGTGCACATGTGAGCAAGATCCAGAGTCTAAACTAGAAGCCAAATCCTTTGTTGTGTTTATTGTACTAACATGGGGCCCTTGTTTTCCAGTGTTTTAGTTTTAGCACGAGATCGCCCGAAAACTACTGGTTGAGGTGCAGCATTCTGCCTGTGGCTCACGTGTGCAAGTTATGCGTGACCTGATGGAGCATGTCAAGCACTGACTGGTAGTAGCTTGCAGAGCTCTTACACTGTTGCAAAGACAAGTTTATTGCGTTGTTTGGGTGTCTGAGCCGGATGGCTTGGACGGACATATACAAACTGATGGGCAAGGCCCTTGAAGCTCTACAAAGGGGGTATGCCCGGCTTTTATAGGCAAGACATGAAATTGAGATTGGATGAGGTTGAGGGTTGCGGCTTGGTGTTGAGGTTGGCTCTAAATGCAACGCAGGAGTTAAACGACATGCACGCAAGGAGAGACACTATGAGAATCTTTGTGCTCCCACGCCTTCTGGCACACCGCTAGCCGCTAGAAGAAACCCACACCAACTCTGCCCGCCTGCATTGTGGAGAGCTCCGAATCATTGCCCACACCACCATCCTGAGAAAAGGGGACGCTGCAGCAGAAAATCCGAAGGTTGCAACGCCCCCAGCCGAAAGCCAAAAGTTTGGCGCAGGTGACGCACAGGAGCCTCGAGAGGCTACCGGCTCTACCGGCTCCCCTCCCAGTCCGTGAGGATCTGTCAAGATTGAACGCTGAAGCAGCAGGTCCAGTCAGTCCAATCCTGCCCTGCGGTCCTTGTCCTGAACCCCACCCTGGCAAGCCGCTAGCTGCTACAAAAACCCTGCACCAACTCTGCCCGCCTGCGTCGTAGAGAACAGCTCTGTGGATGATTCCTTGTCTTGACCCAAATCCTGATCAGGATACGCACGATCTATGCACTTGTGATTTGAGAAGACCCCCGCACCAATTCTGGCAACTCACAGCCTGCTTCGTGGAGCACTCGGCACCATTGTCCACGTTGCCGCCCTGACAAAAAACGGATGCTGCAGCAGAAAATCCGAAGTTTGCACCAGCCTCTGGCCTGCTCTGTGCATGCCTTCTTGTGCTGATCACCATCCTGGCAAAGCTACATCCACGCGCTTGTGAGTTTGGCTAGATACTGGCTGCACAGACGCTCCTCGCCTGAGAAACCTTCTGCCACCCGTCATCCACCTGACAAAAACAATCTTCCTTATCAGCCGCCAGCATTTTGAACGGGCCAGCGCTGTGGAACCTGCTTCACAGGGTCCTCCGCATCACTGTCCGCGTCGCTGCCCTGGCAAAAATGACTGCGTCGACTTGCAAGACCCAAAATACGCAGGAGCTACCAGCCTGCTCCGTGGATGTATCCGTCTCCTGCGGCAGACTGTCAACTCTCCAACGTAAGCCAAAATCAACGTCAGCCTGCTCCATCCGTTTCCGTGCCAGCCACTGCTTGAGCTCGACGACTGTGAACCTGTCCTCCCCCGTCCCTCCCCTGGCAAGAAACTCCTGGATGCACTGCCCTTTTCATGCCCTGGGGCTTAGGCGCTGCTTTTCTCTTACATGTCTCTCTGCAACTTAGCAAATTATAGTATCCTTAAGGGAGGGGGCTTATACCCTCCCCCCTTGAACCACCCTCCCTTAAGGATCCTATAAGCAAATTCAGTACTTCAAAGTAGCGGCCCTCTTTGCTGGTGGCTCCTCGCTTGGAAGAGCCCGACAGCCCTGGCAAGTGACTCTAGGCATGTAAACCCTCGCGCAACCGTTTAGGGTTTAGGGTTTAGGGTTTAGGGTTTAGGGTTTAGGGTTTAGGGTTTAGGGTTTAGGGTTTAGGGTTTAGGGGAGCATTTTCTTCCGCCATGACCTTGGAAGAAGCCACACATCTCCCAAGCCTAACCGCGAAAATGCCCTCCTCACACACGCGCAAGCACTTGCAGACGCTCCTACGCAAGGCACTCGGCATCTTACGGGTCTACAAGGACAGCATCAAACCTACACATGCCCGTGCTCAGAGCTCCCGGCGCTGTGAAGATGAAGAGAATCAACACCTTGAGAGCAAGGACTTGGGGGAGGGGCTTAGGGACTTCCGGGCCAGGGACATGGGAGAACCCTCCCACGCGTACAAACCACTGAAACCGCTTGCAGACGCACACGATCTGCGCAAGGCACTTCTACAGCGGCTTGCACTCAGGGCGCCCGGCGCAGTGAACGTGTAGAAGAGGAGACGGGCACCTAGCTGGCAACGCAAGGGAGCAACGAGGGACTCACGGGGAAGTGCGAAGCAAGGCCAAGCTGTGCAGCGTGCTCACCATATGCATGCATTCACGCAAATGCAAAAACCCCGCCCTTTCCCTTGCGGATGCACTACAGGCAGCCGGCCTCAACAAATCGGCCGGATCGCGCCCACCAAGAGTTTGAGTGCAACTGCGCTGCACAAATGAGCAACATGTAGAATTCTCTGCGCGGCTGCCCATCATAGCATTTGCTAAAACATGCAATGCATGTGGTTCTCCTCACTGAAACTCAAAATCAAGCAAGCTCTTTCCCAAACGTGTGGGTCCTCAGAGTTCATGCCCGAACATGTCGTTCCTCGCTGCAAAACAAAATCAAGCAAGTTCATGCCCAGACATGTGGTATCTCGCTGAAAATAAAAATCAAGCAAGCTCATGCCCGAACATGCGGTTCACTTTGCTGAAAAACAAAATCAAACAAGCTCATGCCCAAACATGTGGTATCTCGCTGAAAAGCAAAATCCAGCAAGCTCATACCCAACATGTGGTTCCTCGCTGAAAAGCAAAATCAAGCAAGCTCATGCCCAAACATGTGGTATCGGTATCTCGCTAAAAATCAAAATCAAGCAAGCTCTTTCCCCAACACGCGGCCCTTCGCTGAAATTCAACATCAAGCGAGCTCAAACATGTGGCGGTCCTACCGAAAATCAAACTCAAGCAACTCAAGCAAAATCAAGCAACTCAAGCAACATCAAGCAAAACCGAGCAAAACAAATTCAAAATCATGAAGACTCAAGCACATGCAAAATCAAGCTTCGCCGTCGTCGTCGCCATCATCGTCGCGGTTGCCATCGCTGTCGTCGTCGAGGGCACATCTGCCGAAACCCGGGCTGATGACTTACAGTGAGGCTCGGGTGGTCCAGCGAAGCCAAGGTGGCGACCGGCTGATACAGGGTGGTTACCCTTTTTTTGCCAGCTTTTCCGTGAACCCGAAACTCCGCCCAATTCCAGGATATTTCAGTTTACAATCGCACTAAACCCTAAGCTTTTCGGGGGGTATAAAAAGTTAAATCGACTTGGCTGGGGGCAAAACGAGATAGATTTCTTGGTTGTGGCTGGATGGGTTTTGGTTGGGGGCCCCTACGGGGTTTTAATGTGGGCTGGGTGGCTCAGCAGTAAAGTTTAGAAGTTTAGAAACTACCCGAAACTTGAGCTTTATGTTTTCGCAAACCGACACAAAACATTTGTTTGAAGAAGAAAACATTGCCAACCACCGTTGCTTTGGAGCACATTATTTGCACAGTAAAAATATGCACCGGATTTCTTTCAGGCTGCAGAAAAAGACATGTAGCAATTCGAGTCTCAAGATAGCATCATATGTTGCAGACGGAGAGCAACATCTAGATATGGAGAGAGGGAGAGAGAGAGAGTGAGACACAGAGAGAGAGAGAGAGAGAGAGAATGAGAGAGAGAGTGAACAAAATCTCGGATTTTTCACTGTCACTCTGAGCCTGTTCGAGCAACGCGGAGTTGGCGCATGTTCAAGTGAAAACAGAGTCAAAAGCTACCACTGTACACGTGTGTGCAACACTGTACCAAAACATATTAAAACATACCACCAAGGGGAGACAAAGTTGTTCACCCCGCCTGATTCACCGTGCACTCCTGGCACGATGGATCACAACAACTTCTCACTTCCCTTGCGGTCCAAACCGCTTCAGCACACACACGGTAGCAACTCTACGGACACACTAGGCTCTATGCACAACTGTGTCATCGCAGGCTCACTGAAGCACAGATGGCTTCACCATTGGAGAAATAACATATGAGCACGAAAAGCTCATTCCATCATTCATGAAAACTGAGCACACCAGGCTCGCATAATTCCCAATGTCGTTCCACAAACAAAGGTTCATCACACGTCCGTGGCGAACTTGTTCGAACATTCCTTGCACGGGCGTGTCACATGAAATGCAGAGTTGCGGATTGTCTTGCAATTTCGGTGATGATAACACTGCCCAAATTCAGTCACACACACTCGCATCGGTAGCCGCAGCACTGTACCGCTGTCACGATCGTAATAATCAAGTTGTAGCGCAGCATTCTCAGTGAGTAGCTGAAGCTCCTTTGTATTTCACGCGAAGGCTTGTCTGCTATGTCGCTGGGATGGAACCCGAGCGAACCAAGAAAACGTCTTGGCCAAGGATTCCACTGACAAAAGAAGTGATGCCAACGCCTTGCCCACATCATTCCGTGATGCGCCACTGATCGACCCGTCAGGTGCGGAGTTATTGTCCACGTAAATTACAGCAGACTTTCCTCTCAGCCAATCTTTCCACAGGACACATGCGATCACTATTGTGGCTGCAAGTTTTGAAAATGCTCGCGGCACGGATGCACTTGCATGTCCACCTCAGACTCAGCTGGCATCGCGGCCACGGTGTCACTTTGCGGCCGACAGGAGCGTCAGGATGCAAAGGTGTGGTATTGTCTGCGTGTCTACAAGATGTCTTGATTGTTTTTCGTTTAAAGCAGGTACAAACGCGCAGAGTCGCTAAGATCTTGAAAGCAGAGCAAAAACGACTTCCCGCAAGGCATGGTTCTGTCTGCTGCCCCGTCGAATGTAGATGTTTGAACTTGCCCAGGCCAAAACAGTACGGCAGCTTTCTGAATCGCAGTAATTAACCCTTGTCGTTTCTCACACGATGGCGCAAATGTTTTAACGCTCGTTGAGCCCGGCACTGAGAGTGATCAGCGGTCAGTGAGCTTCGCTGTCGCCTCCCTGGTGTTGAACCGTTGCCCCAGCAGCGAGTATTTGTTGAGCAGTGACTAAGCTCTGCCAGCTTTTAGTACGTGAGTCAGTGAGTGTGAATGAGTGAGCTTTGCTGCGACGAACGGCTGCCTGCAGCGAGTAAATTCTTCTTCGGTGTCGGGTGAGCAGTGACCAAGCTTCACTCTTTCTTTTCCAAGGGAATGAATGTTTACGGCTTTGAGCCCGGCGTTGAGAGTGGTCAGCGGTGCGAACCCTGCCGAAGCAGTGGGTGAGAGAGCTTGGCTGTGACCCGAACTGTTGCGTGGCAGCTAGTAACTTCTTCGTCTTCGGGGCCCGCTCTTACCCTACACAAACCATACTTCCGAGTATTGGCGGCATGGTTTGGCCCAATCTCATGCGTAACAGATCGTATTTGCGGGTTCTTCGCGGCCCACTCTTCTGCGTAACGTATCAAAGAAGCCGACGTTGTTATAAAACTTGAAAATGCTTCCGGGATTCTGTGCTGAAACGGCCGCTGTCTAAAATTTGCTGTGGCTTCAGCAGTGTGCAAGCCTTTGTCTGAGGCAGGGCACGAATGTTTTACGGGCTTTGAGCCCGGCACTAAAAGCGATGACTCTGCGGAGTGGGGTTTGCCATCTGGCAATGAGGTCTGCCATCTGAGCCAGTGAATGTATGAGCATTGCCCAAACTGTTGCCTGAGCAGCTGGTAAACTTTCCGGCTAGTCAGTGACGAAGCCTTGTTTTGACGTAATCCCAGCCTTCTTTTTCTGAAGGCCACAAAACGTGGTTGCGTTGCGGTGTAGGGTTTAGGATGAGTAAGTGAGCCTTGCTGTAGTCCATGTGGGCAGCCAAAACTTTTTGTTGACATCTAGCAGGTTTTTCCGAATGCACGAATGTGAGCCGTCATATCATGCTCATTCGCTTCTGAAATGTTGAGCCTGTTGCAAGGTCGAAGCTGAGCGCCGTAGTCTTTTACGTAGAGCAACGCGCAGCATGGGAAATCTGGATCCGAAATTGTCCGCTTGCAGAAAGCTAGGACAGGCAGACTCTACTGATCCGCCGCAGTTTGATTCGAGATTGTATGCTGCAGGGTGTGAGGATACAGACGAGGGAACCTGAACGAGCCCAGAGGTGGCGGGCAAATGATTTCACCCTTAGGACAAAGCCGGTGGTATAATACTCAGCTGCCAACTGAGTTTGATTGACTCCGGCATGTCTGGGACCTTCCACCGTTCTAATAGTGTTATACTACCCAAAGGGTGTGTAAGTGGGTTCCCTTGGTTTTTGCAGCAGATGGGGTGGGTTCCCTGTGGGTTCCCTTGTTTTTTGCAGCACTTCAGGTGGGCTACATATGGGTTCCCTTGTTTTTTGCAGCATTTCGGGTGGGTCTGTGTATGTTCTTCATTTAGCTTTCTTGTAGATTCCCATGGTTTTTGCAGCATGGACGGTGGGTTCCCTGTGGGTTCCCAAGTTTTTGCAGCATTTTTAAGTGGGTTCCCATGGTTTTTAACAATATCGACGGTGGATTCTCTGTGGGTTCCCTTGTTTTTTGCAACACTTCAGGTGGGCAACATATGGGTTCCTTTGTTTTTTGCAGCATTTCGGGTGGTCTGTGTATGTTCTTCACTTAGCTGTCTTGTAGATTCCCATGGTTTTTGCAGCATGGACGGTGGGTTCCCTGTGGGTTCCCTAGTTTTTGCAGCATTTTTAAATGGGCTCCCATGGTTTTTCACCGTCGATACGGTGGGTTCTCTGTTCGGTTCCCGGGTTTTTGCGGCATTTGAAGTGGGTTCCCATGGTTTTCCAATAGGCTCTTTTGGCTTTTGCAGCATGTCAGCTGGGTTCCCTGTGGGTTTCTTAGTTTTTTGCAGCATTTTTAATGGGTTCCCATGGTTTAACAGCATCGACGGTGGGTTCCCTGTGGGTTCCTTGCTTTTTGCAGCATTGCAAGTGGGTTCCCATGGTTTTCCCAGCATATATTGCGCAAAGGTCTGGGCGGGCTCCCTTGGCTCTTGCAGTGTGTCAGCTCGGTTCCCTGTGGGGTACATGTGGGTTCCCATGGTTTCTCCAGCTCGCGCATTATGTTTCAGAGAAGAGTGGTACTGAAGAAGATGTTCAGGACAGTGGCTGCAGGTGTGGCCCAGTTCCATCGCACATCTTGCGCTGCATTTGGATTTGCTGCTTTGAAGTAAGGCTGCAAAAAGCACGTCTGCTATCTGCAGTTTGGGTCGAGACCAAAGACGTTAAACAGGCTCACCTCTGATGCACATGAGGCTCGCCGCCCTCCTGTGGTAATGCTCTTGATAAGTTTGCTGCGGCTAAATGCTGGCACGCTGATGCGAGGATTTTGCAGCATCTACTGGTAGATGTTAATCTCAGCTTGTATCTTCAACTGTTTCGATTGCTTGCTGTACGTGGGCTGTTTTTGCACTGGGAAGCTCCACTTGCAGGAGCTCTTTTTTCCTACAGAATCGTAGGAAGCCTCGAAGGGCCTCCCCTGTGCGGGAAAGATCTTGTACGAACAAGAACAGAAGCACTTGTCTTGAAACGGCAGCCGATGGCAAGTTTGGCAAATTTTCCAAAAGTATCTCACATTTCACAGCATGTTGGCTTTCTTGGACGTTGATCCAAACAGCATGCGGAAGGAATTTTGTTTTTCCGTGCAGTTTTCCAGCTGAAACGGGTTCCAAAAAGCAGCTCTAGTCCGGGCACCGAAACGGGGCTCCCGATTTTGGCTTTCTTCGTTGGACATACAAGCTCACGCAATTCGG